TCCAATGTTTTTAATTTAAACTCTGTAAAATTATCTTAAAATAAAAGTATTAATATGATTTATTTTTAGAAAATAATTTATAAATTATATAAAGAGTTAAAATAATGCAAAAATCTTATACAGAAATTCAAATTTTGGGTTTTAGGTACCTAAATTCTATCAAAACAGAGGGTTTTTTTTTAATAGTATTTAACGTCTTAGTCGAAAAATAGAGGTTTTTTCCAGAGTATTTAACACCTTTTAGTTGAAAATACAGATTTTTCTCAAACTAAAATATTTGTTAAATTTAATCTAGAAAGAATGAAAGTAGGATATTACGAAATATTTTAGAGGATTTAGTGGTATATAACTTAAAAATCTAGAGGGATTTTGTTCAATTTAGAGTATTTTGTTTTTATAATAATCTACTGACAGGTTATGTATCTATTGCTGCTATAAATTTATGCTGGATAAATTGCTAAAATACCTTGTAAAGTCATAATTTATCAGAAAAAATCTTATGAAAAAACTACTAACCAAACCACTAAATCTGAATTTCTCACTAAATTTCTCTTTAATATGCAAATCACAGTTTAAAAGCCAAGGGAAAGGGAAAATATTTGAAATTTACTCGTTTCTAGTAGCATTTTTTAAATTAAATGTTTAAGGATGATTTTTTTAAAAATATTTACTAATAACAATTTAAAAATTAGTTGGAAAATCCTCAAATTTAATAGCGAAAACCTCCAAAATAGTCGAGTCCTTCGTATTTAGTAGTGTAGAACCTGCAAAAGATGCGAAACCCTCTGAATTTAATAGTACTAAATTTCGAAATAATTGGGGAAAAAACTCTAAAGTCGATTATTATAAATCTCCTAAGTAGCTAGAAATCTTTTAAATTTAATTAGAGTCCTTCAAGGTTGTTAGAGATCTTCTAAATTGCATAGTAGGATCATACCAAACAATTAAAATCCTCTAAATTTGTTAGTAGAATCCTATCAAAGCCGTTAAAATTCTGCAAATTTGTCGGTAGAAATCCTCAAAATTTAATAGTAAGAATCTCTAAAATAGTCGAAAATCCTTAAAATTTAATAAGAATTCTTCGAGAGAGTTAGAACATCTGTAAATTTAATAATATCAAGAATCTCCAAAATAGTTGGAAATCCTCCAAATTTAAGAAGTGGAAATCCTCTACTTTCGAAGAACAGCCCACTAAAATATTTATTACAGCGTTAAAATCGATTTATTAAATAATTTCGGACGCGCTTTTTTTTACGATATCAGAGGTTAAAAAGGCGGCAACACTTATAGTTTCGGAGGATTTGCTAGTGGTATCTGGTAGGTTTTTCAGGGGATTACTTAATCGAAGACGTTATGAGGGAGGATTTTCGTTCGATTCTTTGCTTTCACGTCAGATCGGACGTCTCATTCATTTGGGGGTAGGAATGGATAAGCGATAACGATTTAAGAGGACAATTTTCGGATGTTTGGCGGCATAAAATGGTGTGGAACAATTAAGGAAACCCGAACCACAAATATGGGGAGGACAGGGGATCAACTTGCAGCACCATCTGGCCTTGTGCAGTGTGGTCTGTCAGTCACGCAGTAGAGTTAGAGAGTCGCAAATTGTTCGATGCTCTTGATGGATGGATTCGGTTTTACGGAAGACAGCCTCTCCATCAATTGATCCACCATTTTACAAACTGCATCCTTCACGTCACATGACTGAATGTTGCCGGTTAGTAATATCCTTGCCCTCATTTATGGCAAAGTTTCGTGGATTTTTCTTTACTTTATCTTCCTCTTTCTCTCTACCAATATTTATTATCTTGCTTAAATTGCCAGCAAATCTCCTAAGATGTCTGCCATACTCAGATAAGGATTGCAGGGATTTTTCTATGATGACGATGATACTTTCTTGCTTCCACACTGCGCCATTGAGTCTTATAGTGCCCTTGCCCGATTGCTGATTGTTTTATTTAATTTTCTGACTTTTTTGGGGGGTCCTTAAAAGTGGTTTAAATTTCCAGAAATTCGTCAGATTTTAAGATCGCTGCTTAGTGTTATCAACGCCCTTACTAAGCAGGGATCTTCTTAAAATAATGCTTATAAAGCTTGAAAAATATGATGAATTCATCAGGATTTTAAGGATTTTCTGTTTAAAATCAGTGTGGTTACTGTTTAATATATGAAAATTATGATTAGAATGCTAAAAAATGGCTTAAATTCAGCAAGGTTTTAAGATTTTTGCCTTTAATTAATGTGAATCCTCGTTTGGAATGCTGAAAAATGATTCAAATCACAAAGGATTCAGCGGGATTTTCTAAATTTCTGGTTAATATTTACGTGCATTAAGATAATTTCTGCACAGGGCGTATTTTTTAATCACATTTTCATCAGGAGAAACACATTTTTGGAAACGTTTCTTATCAGCATACCACGAAAAAAATCAGCTTTTGTAAAGAGCTTTTATTGTAGATTTTACTTAAAATTTTAAGCAAAGCAAGCTCCTGGCAAAGAAATTCCATAAATACTTCCAAACATTCGATGGAATTTCCAGAATTTCCAATAATATCTGCAACTTTCTAGTGAGAGAACGTTACTTATTCAAGAAAATCTTTATTATTCCAACATCTGATGCTATTTCCTAACATAAATCTTGCATTAAAATGAATGGTTTCACTGTAAAAATCATTTTAAAAAACGAATGTATTATGGCAAATTCCGATATTAAAAATAAACAGGGGAAAACGTATATATAAATACGTGTATTTAGTGGGCCTCCATCTTAGAAAATTATAAATCAAAAAGGCAAACAGCTGCTGTAAGTTTCCTTTCTTGAACACACACACACAGACACACAGACACACGCTAATGTTAAGTCAGCAGAGAAATTTACAGTGGCATTATCGACATGGCATAACTGTAAATTTTACGGTCGAGAAGGAGAAATGACTTGTCGACTGTAAATTTTCCAAACATGTAGTAAAGGGGTTTGATCCGCATCATTAAAATTCTCTAGTGATTAACTTTGTCAAAGATTTGGTCCTCCTTTATCTTTCTAAATTATCTACAAACTATTATATATGCAAATAGATCTTTATCGCTTATATTTTCGTGGATTTTCGTAAGAAATGAGTTAGAAATTTCGATTTTTTTGAGGATTTTTATCGTAAAAAATGCCTGCTGGTCCTCTCAAAGAAACTAGTTTATGGAGCTAAGGAGTGTGTTCATGCTCCTGTAATCTGGTATAAGGTCGAAACTTTTAATTAAAAGTAAAATTAAGTTTTAATTTCGTATCCTGTGATGTTAATTTATTTAAATTCGAATGAATTTTAATATTTGATCTTCATCCTCTAACATCCTCTAGGATGATATAGGATGAGGAGCAAAATTTAAGAGAAAGTGGAGTTTAGAGCTCATGAGCCTCCCAAATAAAACTTATGGGCTAAAAGCTATTTAAATGGGACTAAAATATATTTAAATTCCTGTTAGAAAGTAAAAGTTAGTTTTTAGTTTTTACTCTTCGTCATCTAGCATCTTTAATTTCGCAGCATCAAAGCCTATGAAGATAGAGTTACAAGTTAAGCAGTATGTGAATTTAGCCTAAAATCTAATTAAAATAATGGAGAAATTTTTATATTTGAAAGTAAAATTTGAGTTTTAATTCTACACCTAACAACAATAAACAGTAAAAACATCGAATATTTTAAAATTCTACTCCTCATCTTCTAGCATCTTAATCGCTAGATGAGCTTCTAAAAGATTATTTACGGGCTAAGAAGTACGTAAAAACAGCTTAAAATTTGATTAAAATGATGGAATAAGGCCCTAAATTTTTTATATAAAAGTAGAATTAAGCTTTAAGTGCGTAATTTTATATAGAAAATTACGAAATTTGCTCTTTATCTTACAGCATCTCCCAGCATCTTGCTGCATCTTTCAACATTTTCCAGCATCTTGATCACGAATCTGCGATGTTGGGAGATTCTTTTGCAGTTTAAACAGATTTAAAACATAATAAATAATAAAAATATCTGTTAAAACTTGACTATACTCCAATAACTATGTTGAGGTTATAGGAAAATGGGTTTGTGAGGAACTATGTTGGGTTGAAGTTATTTATGTGTTAGGTTTCCTTCTCTAACACGAGTAAATCTGAGATAAAAATGTTTTATCTGTTAACATACACATAAATATATTTATATGGGGGAAAATAAATTATGTATACATATGGTATTTTATAAGAAAAAAATTGTTTTCCCCTTACACGCAATGTATATGTTGATGCCTATGAAAGCCTGAAGAGCAACAAATAAAGCAGTAAATTTGCAGCTTATTTAAAGGGCCAAATGTGAATTCCGCTTCGAATTTTTTAAGCAAAATTTTAAATTCAACTTAAATTCGTAATTGTTAACAACTGTTTAAATTATTTTCTTACTAAAAATGTAGAATAAAAGCACGAACGAACTTAGAATGTCCTTAAAAACCAATTTAATATTTAAATATAAAAACAATATTTAATTGATTATTCAAAATAATAGAAAAGCTCTGAAATAAAATAAAAAAGGGATTCCATACAGGGAATCGAAAATCCTCTAAAATGATTAGAAATTGTTCGAATTTAATAGCGGAAATCCTCTAAAATACTAGATATAGAGAATATTTTTATTAATAGAAATTTTGTAAAATAATTGGAAATTACCAAAATTTAATGGAAATCTTCTAAAACAGTTGAAAATTATGCACATTTAATCTTCCGAAACAGCGGTAAAATCTTCGAATTTCGTAATAAAAAATCCTCTAAAACAGTTGGAAATCCTCCAAAGCAGTACTAAAACCTCCCGAATCCATAATAAAAAACTCTCTATAAAAATCTGTCTAACAATTAAAGTCCTTCAAAATAGATAAATTAAGTAATAAATCCTTATTTACATAAATACCAAACTTTATTTTCTAAGTGAAAAAAACAAACAAATTTTATAATATTTTAATGGAAATTTATTTATATTTCGACTCAGAATTACGTAAGAAACTACGAATGTCAAGCAAATCCTTCATATCAGAGATAAGAGAAGGCGAAACTGTTGAACCGTCAGAGGATTTCGAAGACAATGCAGTTGTTATAACCCCGTAAGTACCACTTTATTATCTAACATAATTATAATTTCACTTCCCATTTTATCAATGGGATCATTTAACTTCATTTTATTATACTTAATACCAATTTCATTAATGAATTTAGAAGGCGGGGGGAAAGAGAGAAGGGAAAACTCCACGCATCTTCCTCCATATTTCAAATTTGGGGGGAGGATGCTCATACAAAATACATACGCGCGTAGATCTTCTCTAACACGTCTCTCGTCTCTACTTTTATTATCGGTAGAGATTCGAAAAAAACGGGGGGAGGGAGGGAATATAATTCGATCTCTTTAAATGACAGGAAGTCACCCGCGACTTAACGACTCTTTCCTACTCATTGTGTGTGTCTCGTAGCTTGACAATGAATGGTTGTATCTAATCAGCCACGCATCTTCCAGCTTTGAGTCATTTTACTCTCAATGGTTATCTTTTTAAGTAAAAATGGTTCCCTTTTTTCCCTAGAAATTCGGCTAAATGACGCTTATTTTATGTAGAAATTATGCAATTAATACGCGTATACGCGTACAGTCAAATAACGCTCTATACCTCGATATAGCTCCGTCTATGTATGCATCTATACACCGTTGTTTTAGTGTATAAATGACGCTTATTTTATATAAAAAAAATTATTTCCTTATTTTCATTGAATTAAAAATAACTTAATTAAAAAAAATTAGAAAACTTATAATAAATTTAATAGATAAATAAATAACAATTTAAGAAATTAAATTGCAATCAATAAGATAAATTTTGTTTATTAATGTTAATTTAAAAAATAAAAAAATTAAAGTGAAATTAAAATTTTATTTTTCCAGAATATTAAATTTGTTAATTACAATAAAAGAAATATTTCTGTTTACTGAAATGAACAAAATTTAAACGTTTGATTGTAATTAATAATAATTAATTATAATGTTAAATTAAATTTGTTAATTTCAATAAATCTTATTGTTGTAATCGACGATTTTTCTTCTTCTGAAAATAGAATATTGTTACTATAAATAGAATTTACAATAAATGAAGATGACAAATTAAAGTAATTAATTACAATAGACGTAATAATTAAATAAATTTAATGTTAGATAATAAATAAATAAATAAATGACATTTATCATTATCTGTAATTAAATATATTAAAATACAATTTATAAAATTTAAATATGATTAAATACAATTTAAATTGTAATAAAACTTTAAAGAATATTACAATTTTATTGACTTTTACAAGTTTAAGTTAATAATTTTCTACTTCATAAAAATCTCCCAAAACGCCAGAAAAATTCTCTAAAACTCCCTAAAAATGTTTAAATATCCCCAAAAACTCCGTAAAAACTACCAAAAAATCCCAGAAATTCCCCAAAACCTTCCCGAGAGAGAGGCAAAATTATTATTATTATTATTATTTTAAATTTAAACATTGTAAAAATTTATATAATTATACTAAAATCTGTATAAAATTTAAATAAATTAAATAATTAAAAATTTTAAAAAATGTAAACATTTTAGTTCATTTTCACAACTTTAAATCAGCGAATTCTCTTTATATAAACGCTTTTCCCCTGCTGTTTTTATTAATTTTAACGTCTTAAAAATGCGTATAATTGCTTCCCAAAACCCCGAAAAATTTAGAAATTCTCTCGAAAAACACTGGAAAATTGTAATGTAAATAAAAATTAAAAAAGAAAAAAACTCTACAGCGCTCCATCGATCAAAAACTAAAAATTGATAACTTTGTTTACATTATTTTTATTACTTTAGCAGGGAATAAAAGTTATTATTTTTTACTGGATACAGCATTTTAAACAAGGTATTTTTTTTTTATTTTTCTACGTGTTCAATTACTCCCTCTTAGAGGAATTTTAAAGGGTTTAGGACGTCTTCAATGAATAGAATTTTCTAATTTAAAGCGATTCTCTCGAGTGTCTCCCCCTTTTTTCTAATTTTAAACAACGATTAAGGTTAGAAAATACAGTTCATTAGGGAGATAAGAGCATCCTTGCTGATATACATCCATCGACCCATACTGGCAACTCGATCCAAGCCCAAGATATTAAAAGGCTAAGGAGTGGGTTGAAAGTAGTTTACTTTGCTCCGTCTCGCAGGTGGTTCGCCCACATCCACACCTACAATTTTTCTATTATCTAGAAACCTTACAGAAGAATAAGGTTATTCACCCTATTTTTTCAGACTCTGGAGGTGTATTACTGTATTGTCGAGCTCGAAAAAGTCTCCCTTATTCTCGGTATCCTTAATAATAAAGTGTTTATTTACGTAGTTAAGGAGGGCCCTCATTACTTTTCTAGTAATTGGGGGTTTATGACGTGTATAAACTGTTCTTTAACGCCAACTTTCTCTTCCCAGCAACCCCCTTAAGGGCTGGGGTTCGGGGAAATTGACCTTAGGATACGAGCGCGCGCAAACTGGCGAACTACGCGATTTGGGGGAATCTTGGAAGGACACGTCGGCGCCGCTCGGGTCACGTGACGCGGTAAAATGACCCTCGTTTCGATGTAGAAGCACACTTTTGTGCAATCTTGAACATGTCAAGAGGAAGATGACGTTTTCTGATTTCATTTTTTATTTTTATAATCTTTATCGAGTGGTTGTAAAATTAATTATGGCTCGATCTGTTATAAACGAGAGACGTTTGGACCAATAAAAAAAAAGGCTTTTAAGAGGTTATTTTTTAGAATTTTTAAAGAAATAAAGTAAAAAATTCTTTTCTTAAAGCTCTCGTCTTCTTTTAAAGTCCGAAAACTTTGCCTTTTTCTTTTAATTAAAAGACTTATAACTGTTTTTTTCTTTATCGTCGTCCTTCAAAGCCGCTCGAAGGCTCTCGTATATAACTTCTAAGACACTTGAAAAAACTTCGATTGCTTTAGAAAAAAATCATCTGTTTAAAAGAGAGAACAGGTAGGTTCCTCGTCTAAAACTTTTATCAATCCGACAAATAACCACTACAAAAAAAAAGAGGAGAAGGAGGAAATTCTTTCTAACATTCGAAAAGCTTAGACGAATGATTGAAATCCCTGCTCTAACCGTAAATATTGCACGACCCACAAATACATAAAAGTCATAAGTCACGAACTGAAAGCCATCTGTTCGGTAGTTATAATTAGCCAAGAAAATGAACTGTGTGAATACCTCATTCATTTCTAACAGCATATAACTTTTCCATCTACAATTCGACCTTCGTCATACCTCGTGCCTTATCCATTTACAAGTTTCGATATTCTTCCTTTACATAGGAGGAAAAAGTAAGATTCTGCCCACCATTTTCCCTAAATTATTATTATTATCATTATTATTTTTTACTTCCTTTCCCCTAAACCACCATCCCTCAGGCGTATCAACAATTCTAAACACGATTCTTCCCCCCTTAAATCTAAACCACACCCCTACATTAAGGATCTTCACCTTTGGGAAGGTCAAAATTTACGAAGAGGACAGTTTTTCCTTCGTCTGAATTACGGTCATTTGTACAATTCCTGAATTGAAATAAGGTATTATGGTTACTATTATTTACTATGTCACTCCACTACTCTAGCTGATGCTAACGTGGAGACTTGCCACATCCTATTACTTAAAAAGGAAAAAAAATGCAAATTCAATATATTCTCTCGTTTGTTTTTAATTAATTACCACTTTAGGATCGATGTTTTACTCAAATCGATGCTAATCTGATGTTAAATAATTTATTACCCTACAGAAGTAGCTATTCAAAGCATTCGCCGCTGTGTTTATATAATGTATTTAGAGTATCATTTATGTTATAATTACATCATTTTAAATTATAAATTTATCAAGAACTTATGCAAAATGTGTAATTACTCCGATTATTAAACACGAGAGTTTGTAATGTTTGGAATCTGTAAGGGGGGAAACTCGCTACACTTTGACAAGCCAACTCTCTTCAAGCACAGTATTGAAGTGTCAGTTTACTCACTCGTCCTTCAAAGACGCCACACCCTCTTTGTACTAAAGAATGCTGTACAATTACTAGACAATAAAAGCATTCAAAGAAGTTCTCCAGCGTGTCACTCGAATTTCGCGCATAGTCATCATTCATTCGATTCTTATGCGATTCTATCTACACCCTCGCCTTCTCCTCCTCTTCTTCCTCCTCCTCCTTTTTCTTCCTCTTCACCCCCCTTTTTTAAGTTAAAGCATGACTTTATTTTAAAGAAAATTTAATAAAAATTACGGGCCCACTTCATGCTCGATCTTCCCCCAAAAATGGCTGATTGTTGCTAAGTGACATCCGACTTTATGTTCTATTTCTAGATATCTAGAGGGCCTGTCAGGACGTCTGGAGTGGATTATAGAGGGGTTTCATGCGTCTAAGGGATTAAACTATAAGTTTCGCAACAGAAGCGAGGGGTTAGAGGTCCCTTCTGTGAAGGGTCTAGCAAATTTTTACAGCATCTGGAAGAGATTGGGCATTTTTGCAGCATCCTGTTCGAGGAATTGGCACTTCTGAAACGAAAATTTAAGCGCAAAAAAGAAGCTCGTAGAATGGATCGGAACAGGGAACCAAGTCAATTTTAAACACGTGACCTATGTTAGTTCAGTTCTAGAAGCCCCTTAAAAATATCCATTATTGGTATTGCGGGTGCATCGTTGATCAGGCTCCGCATCTATTGAAGTGGTGATGATAAATTTAGAAGGTTAAACAAGGTTCAGTGACTCATTTTAAGTGTTCTTTTATTCAATAGGAGGATTTACACAATCCAATATTATAAAACTATGTTTACTTTAAGGGGAAAAAATAGAGGGGGGAAGAGCATCATTCCTATTCTTTTGCTAGTTGTAATTTTCCAAGAGATTAGCTTTAATTAGCCTCGTGTAAATATTATAATCAATGCTTTAATTGGATTTTTGTTTTAGAAACGATACTTTTGGAGAAAATTAAACTTTATTAAGGTTAAATTTTCAATAATGAATTGAAATTCTTCGTTTATTAAACGGACTTCATTAAGAGTTATTAAGAAATATTCATTATTCGTCTAGGGTAGGATTAGGTTCATTTGGAGTATTACACTAATGCTGTGTAATTAACGTTGGCTACCGGAAATAACAGGAGAAATATCACAATTAAAATATTTCTAAAAAGATCTTCTATTTGTCTATATTTTTTCTTTTTTTCTTTTTTTTTAAATTTAAATCAACCAATCAGGGCTCTTCTTCTATGTAAACTTGACGGATTCTGCTCCACTAAACCGATTCGGTTTGGTGTGTAAGCTTGACTTACGTTGCATAGCTAGCCCCAGGGAAAGGATGTGCAAATTGAGGGAAGAATCCCCCTTCATTGGTCCTCCTAACGACTCGGTAGGCGTTCGCTCTGACAAAGGGACACTTGTCCCCCTTTGGCGAACGAATTGTCGCAGTTGATTAACTCCAGGGAGAATGTATCAACCGTTGGGTATTTTTAGTTGACGGAAGAGGGTAAAATTCAAAAGGAATCTGTCAAAGAGTTGACATTCGTTTCCAGATTTTTCCCTAAATAAATTATAATTTTATCCGGATATTACTATTGACTTTTTCCCATCTTCTTGTGAATTTATTTTCTAATTTTATAATAATTTATTTTATTTTATTTTTTGTACTTATTTTAGTCTCGATTTGTTCCGCTTTCACTCTTTTACAAGCTCCATTCCTTGTTTTTTGTTTGTCGGCCTCATACTTCATAAATTATCCATGGATTATGCTAATTTAATGTTCATTTTTCTTTAAATATCCACAAATAACACTTATTTCTATGCTCAGTATGCGTGTATGCACTTAAATTATGTTCAATTCTCTTTTAAATGAACACAAATTGTACTCATTTCTGTTTCTTACTCTCTAGTTTTGTATTACAAAAGAGAAATAAACACAGAAATGAATACAATGCTTTTCATTTATTTGTAAGCCCTTAAATTATGTTCAATTCTGTTTTAAATGTCGAGCATATAAGATATATGAACATAATTTACACGCGTATACGTGAAATGAACATAGAAATGAAACTCAATTTATACAAAGAACACAATCACATAGAACTGTTCATTTCTCTTGTTATACTTGTGTTCATTTCTGTGTTACAAACCACTCCTCTTGTCGATTTTATTTAAAAAAGAAAATAGAAACTGACAAATTTATCTCGTGTACTTTTCCTTTGTCGTGCTTTTCTCGTGTCTTTCTTGTGTATTTTTAAACACGTGAATGTTTGTTTTTTTTAACTGCCATTTTTTTCGCTTCTTTTTTTCTAAACAATGCATTTTTCATCTCTCGTATTTTTACTATAATTTACGACTTTCTTTTCTTAAAATATTTGTCATTTTCTAAGTAATTTACTCCGTTTTTGTTTCTTACTCCCTTTTATCTCGTGATTTTTTTACGTGATTTACATCCTTGACCTCTCTTTAAAATTCGAAACAGTATATAGTTTACAGGCGTATACAGATATAAGTTTGATTATGAACAATTTATACTGTAAATAAATTAAATATATATTTAAATTTATGAGCTATAACATAAATCTCAAACCACAAATATGGGGAGGACAGGGGATCAACTTGCAGCACCATCTGGCCTTGTGCAGTGTGGTCTGTCAGTCACGCAGTAGAGTTAGAGAGTCGCAAATTGTTCGATGCTCTTGATGGATGNTTAAATATTATATATATATATGTGTGTATTTTTTTTTTTTTACAGAATTCCAGGCGATTCAGAGAAAGCAACCTTTGGAAGCAGTGGAGAGTTGGACTCTACGGGTAAATGGCCTTAAATTTAGGAAATTTATATATATAATAAACAAATTAAACGTTTAAACTCGTCGTTTAGACTAAACTTTTATCGATAAGTTTAAAAAAAACGGCGCCAGAAGGACGTTTTTATCAGCAACCTTCAAATATTGTTACGATGAGGTCGACAGATATAGAGATTTTGGAAGACGTTCGGACAAAAATCAATGATTTAACAATAAATATAATTTCGTCCATCGTCGAGTTCAATCGATAACCTATCGATTTAAACCATTAACTAATAAATCACCGAAGAAATTAATTTAGAAAAAAATTATTATTATTATTATTTGTTTTTCTCAAATAAATTCTCGAGATATCAGTTTTCTAGCTTTGGATACGAGTTTAAAGTGTACACATGTCGAAAAGTTTACGTTTCAAAGGTACAATAGGAGGTACAAGAACTCATATTACTATAGAAAGGTTCGCAGAAAAAGAGGTCGAGATAGAAAAATGGAAAAATAAGAACAAAAGAAGGGGCTTAAGAAACGTATAGGAGAAAAAAAGGAGCATAGTAAACAAGAGATATATAAAATATGAAAAAAGGAGGGAGGAAGCGTATATGAAACAGAAAAAGTAGAGGACAGAAATAGAAAGCAAACCGAAATTCAATAGACTAAGCTATCAGGAAGCTTAACCCTCAAGCTACATAACATTTGATTAAAGATGAATATTGATTACTCGGGTTACCCAAAATCTATTTTTACTATTGGTTTATTTATTCTTTCATAAGGACTAGCGTACTATAAAACTTTTAAAAGTATAGCTTAGTAAACACGGGTCGTAGATAAAAAAACATACAAACAAATGCATAAATGTATCTCGTTACAAACAAGTAATCACCAAGCAACTAACAGGGAGGAAGGGAAGAAGAAAAACTGAAAAAAATATATAAATAAAAACAAACATACATCATCCAAAACATGGAACAAACGATTTTTTCCCCTCATCTTTTTTTTGCCTCGCGTAAAGACCGTACGACGAGGCAGTTATCATCTTTCGTTTCCTATAATTCTGTCCCTCTATAGAAAGAAGTTAATGCATTTAGCTTAAGGAAACATTCCTTATTACTCTGTCAATAAATCGACTTTTACATGACGAAGAGCGAAAGGTTTAACAAAAAAATAAGTAAAAAATCGTAGATGGGTCCATTTGACATTTTAACCAAGTAGCTAAACCGATTTTTAATTTCGAAGCACTCGACTAAGTGCATCTGATGGAGAGGTTTCTATCTGACAAGAAGCCGCAACACGCCCAGACACGTGACGAGTTATGAAATATTCATCATTTATTCCCATCCCCTCGCGCACATAAGTACTGTACACACATACATACATACATACACATCCCATTCTTCTTCCTTACTAGTAATCTAAACTGACCCCCCGGACTGGTATTATCTAGTAGCAAAGCCAATGTTGTTTGTTAACTCGGGTCGCGCAGCAAATGACAGATACTCGACTTTGTGGCACATTACATGGCATTCTTTGTAATCTAACGCGCCCCGAACTTACATAATGTAATCACCTATCTCTTTTAATGTCCCTCTTTTGAAGTTTATTAGCACACAAAGTAAATTGATGATGGCAATGAAGAGATAATGGCATAGTTTTTACGTGGGAGAGAAAGAGGGAGGAGGCGCAAGAGGAGGAGGAGGAAGAAGAAGATGATATATTACTTCTTAAAAATCATTTTTATCCAAATTTTTTTTTCATCTTTTACAGCTCAACTACAGATGATTCGATCCTTGATCAACGTTACCAAGGAAACTGGCGAGAGCATCAAGATGAGGTGCGAAATACGTTCGAGCGTGGAGCCTCATATAGTCTGGTACAAAAACGAGGCACCTCTAGAGGCCGAGAAGGGAAAATTGGAAGTTAGAAAGTACTCTTCAGAATCCGGTCATTACGGGTCACGTTTGAGGATAGTGGACCTCGATACACACGACACTGGCTATTACAAATGTGAGGCTTCCATTGATCAACACAGAGTGGAGAGTTCTGGAATTTTAATCGTGAAAGCCGGTAAGATAAATTTTGTTTTCGACTTCTTTGTTAGTTTAGTAATTCAATTGTCTAAATTAGAAACAATTCCACATACGCGATACTCGCGCGCGCGCGCACACACACACGCACCAACTTAAATATTTAACAATACTCGAGTTACTGTACATGTCTCGAGTTGTTGATGAGTCCAGGGAGTTAAAGAACTTATAAAATTGGATTAGTGAGAAACTAGTCCGGTTGTAATTACGTTGAGTGTCGTTAGTAAGGGGTTAGCGTTGATTCGGGATCGAGCAATGAAATTTCAAGCCGTAAAACCGCGATTATATGATCGTAAAATGGTTTTCTTATCACATATTTATCTGCCATAATTACATTTTTTAAAGTCTCGTCTTTTTTTTTTTGCAGGTCGAGTGAAACCTGCTGCTACAATCCCCAACTTTGCTCCAGTGTTCCCTCATTTTCCTGCCTTGGGTGGAAAGTAAGTACTGCACTTGTTTTTTTTTAATCAAGAAGTTATTACACGTGTGAGCTTTATCGTGATCCCCCTCGTATGTCGTCACCACATTGAAAACACGTGAGAAAAGTCGAGTTTATCTCTTCCCTCCAGCAGAGTACATTTATTAACTAGTAATGAATTAGTAAAGCCATCTGCCTGCATGACGAACGGATGTTGTAATTCAACTGGGGTAACAGTTGCGCCCATTCATGCCTAGTTCATATTTGTGTGTGTGTGTGTTTTTTTTATTCCGCCCCTTTCTCAGTAGAGATTCAATGTAGCGTAAGGAGTGCTTCTGTTTTCGTAAAGTTTGCTTAAGATTAATAAATATTATTTCTAACTTTTACGATTAGTTTAAAGGGCTTTCATTTAGATGTATTCATTCTAAATTTAACNAATTTAAATATAAACATAGTTATATTATTTGTTTTTTTATAATGCATGATTTTATAAAAAAAGAAAAAACAACTAAAATTGCCTTTCGCATAGATAAGAATTTAAAATTCATTTTAAAATTCCTGGATGCAATATTTGTTTTCAATTGTTTCAAAATGATTTTTATTATTAATAAAATTGTTCAAATCCATTCGATTAAGAGATATTAAATTACAATGGAAAGAAAATATTTCCGTAATTTCAATATTTTATATAAAAAAAATTATAAGTTTATCAAAAGAAGAAAAATATTTTTTAAATGAAAATTTATCTTAATCTATACGGACCTCTAAATAATGGCCACTGACGCGGACATAAAAAGTGGCCAATGTTCTAGGCGATTGTTGTTTTGAGTTCATTTTGTATATATTTTTGTACAAAAATAAGACCTAAAAAAGGCGGTTCGAGTATACAAGATTTAGTATGAAGAAGTGAGGAACGTTTCTTTAATAAGAAGACCATTGTAAGAGATCTCAAAAGACCACATGTTGTATTGAAAGTTACGTATGCACAGTACTATATGCAACTTTCAGCATTTATGATCAACCAATAAATATATAATAGCCACCTCCCAATAACAGCCACTTCTACACAGTGGTCATTTTCTCAGTAAACTTTTCGAACAAAACAGCATACAAATAACTTCCAAACAACGGCCATTTATTTACGTGCCTGTACAGTGTCCATTCTTCAGAGGTTTGAATGTAAAATAAACTTCGAAAAGCTGATAAATTTTACCTTTTCTCGTATTTAATATTTATTTTCCTCCATTAAAACATTATTTTTGATATATTTCTACAAAGTTATCGTATCGATTTTCTCGAGTTTTGAATAAAAGAATACAATATCTCTTGATATCTTAACCGATACCTTGTCAAAGAAAAGAAGAAAAGCATTCCATTCTGGGCGTGAATATTTTGACAAGATCTTTAATCTTTCTTTAATAATTAACTTTCTTTCACCTCATCTAGATCAGGAGGCGGTTTTCCATCTCAATCTTTTAACATCCATTACAGAGTATAGATTTCCTCATAGTAATTTAATAGCCATTTTTATGTAACTTATATCGTTAAAGGGTTAATGCAGATACTCATCCAGATGATTTCTTTTTATCTTTATTATATTCTGCCGTGTAAATGGAAGTTAGTGATGAGCCCGCTCATTATGTTTATGAATCGAAATGGTCACGCTTAATGTTTTTTTTCTTTTGGGTGTATAATTCAAGAGTTAGGCAGATAAAAGGGAAGGCTTTACCAACTTTATTTATGTAACTCGACCGAAATTGCTTGTCCTGTACAAATAGCACAGGCTCTAATGCCACAGGCAGGATAAATATTTAGATCTTTAGCCAAAAGTGGAGCCAAATGTTCCTTTTCTGATTCTTATCACAATAATGAAAGTAACAGTTTCCTGCTATTTTATGTAGAGTTAAAAGCTGACTAAAAGGAATATTTTTAAGTGTAAAATTACAGCTGTACAGCTGTGTTACGGCCTAAAATTTGCTATAAATGTGTAGATGAATGGTATAAATATTTTCTTCCAGATGTTTTTTCCTATTTTATTTCGTAATGTGGATAGTTAGTGATAAAGAAGATTTATTCTTAAAAATATATATATGAAAGTAACTCGTAACAAACTCATAACATGATTCAATCTTACGCGTAACGAATCGTTTTACTTAAATTACTTTAAATTTGAGTTCATATCTATGATTGTTCCTTTTATAATCCATATTTTCCAGCATCCCTCTCCACATCAATAGAGAAAGATTTATATCCTCTAGAATCCAATTCCAAATACGTTTCATCCCATCTTCAAAATTGCACTGTATATTTATTGTTTTTAAACTTATTTTACGAGGCCTTATAGTGAATGATACAAAAGGCCTCTCAGAGCAACACGTGCCCAGTTAGTCACCCATTCCATTTATAATGAAGTTCTAAAGATTTATAACCCTTAAACTAAATTACCACATGGCTTATGCTCGTGTTAAATCTTTAGAAAAGTAGAAAATCAAATGGCTATCATGATAGATTAAAGGTTTCCTATCAACGATAAAACCAGGATTAACGGATATTCGTCACCTCTAAAGAAGAAGAAGAAAAAAATATATATATTATTACCCGTCAACTGGGACCTCAACAAATATAGGAAAATCCCAAAAGTAAACATTAGGAGGTTATAAACCATTCTAAAAAGTTGGGTGGCCATAAAATGCAAAGTTTGCTGAATTGAAGAGAGTTCGGCTTTAACAATAGACCAAGGCAGATGTTTGTGTTTAAATAGGAGAGCTGATAACGTTCGGGAAGACTGTGTTAGCCATTCATGAAATAAATTGTGAGGACACGTTAACCGTTGTACCTGACAGCTTCACACTCCTGACTGTATAAAATGCATAAAACACTTTATTACACAGCTCTTTTTTTTCTCTTAACTTTATCAAAAGAACAGGGACCTTTTTTTCAGTGTTTCTATGTGACAAATTTCTGAAAAAATTTAATTTATCCCACGAAAAAGTGAGATCGATAAAGATGCCGAGGTGAAGAATATTCTAAATGGCATCTCAAATAAGTGATTTCTAAGTGAATTAACTAAACTTCTAAGCATTAAACTAAGTTAAATTTATATAGAATTTAATATAAACTTAATATTAATCAATGGTTATTAGTGTTAAATTAAATTAAGCAACCTCTAATTTCAATATATGTTGATTACACGGTGTAAAACTCTAATTATACCGTTGGAAAACCGTTATAAATTATTAAATTTAAAATATTTTAACGGTTAAATAATTTATTGTGAGGTTTTTTTCTGTTCTTCAACTTGTGTATTTAAAGATAAAAGCTGCAATACGTGTCAGACGTGGATCATAAAGCGAAAAAATAAATTTCTTGATGCATTTTTGAGGGGGCAAAGAACATTGAAGATACCAAGATCATTTCTTACTACAAAAATACTAAAAACTGTAAGGAAAAAAAGGAGATTCTACTAAATAATTGTAGATGAAAAACTGTTGTGTGCACGTATAGATATATATAATTTTGATCCCAGACGTTACAAGCTCGGAAAATCCCACAATCAATTGATACTCCCAAGAAACAGATTGTAAACACGACATAAATCTCCCCCTCCGAAAAAAACAAGAAAAAAATTTTTAAAAAGGCATAAAAAAGTAACATTTTCGGAGGCGGAGTACTTAATTTTAATAATTATCTATATAAAATCCTTTCTTAATTATGTTTTCTAATGTAAAAAAGCACGCGAAGTTGTGTATTTTTTTTAAAACACACACACACACACACACACACATATATATATCCATTTTTTCTTTATCGTATCAAAGATTTCTTTTGGCAAAAATTGAATTTTGGTTTTTCAATAGAAAACCGTTTCCTTAGTTTATTTTCTCTCTCGCTCTCCCCCTATCCCTCCTTCTCTTCATGTTGACTCCACCTGTGTTAGTGATGGAGAGGAAAAAAGACCCTTCAGTCTTTCAAGAAGAAAGGGAGGGGAAAAATATATATATATATATTTCATATTGAAAAGGAATACTTTACGATATCTATTTTTTTTAATATATGTCTATGCACTTGCCATATTCAAAAACATGAGAAATGCACGATATGATTTAAATAAATTACGCTTTAAACCAATGATTTTAAATTAAATATATATCAAACTAAAGCAGATGAATCACGGTCCCTTTTTTCCATACAAAATTCATATTTTTTGGTGCATAAAACTATAGAAATCAATATTTTTGGGAAGATAAAATATTCCAGGAAGAGCCTTTTTGTAAAAAAAATATTTCACTACTAGAGTCAGATCTAAACTTATATTCTAACACATAAAGAGGCCTTCCATCCTCACCAAGTAGTTTAATGCGTTACTGTATCATAGTACAGTGAGGCCCTACTGTAACTGTCCCCGCAGAAGACTCCCTCAAAAACATTGATTTTGATAATTTTAAGTAAGGTTTAAACTAAATTAGTGTATTTTTTATGCTCTAAATGTGAAATGTATTTGAAATTTTTCATATTTTAAATTATTATTAACAAATTTTAAAAAAAATTTTAATTGGTATACAAGAAATATTTATAAATTCCAACCTCGATAATAAAAGAATCCCTCTTAGATATTAATTGAATCGTTTTTGAAACAGGAAAGAACAATTTATTTTAACGAGTAAGGAAAGAAATTAGTGTAATTTTCGTTCACCACGTGGCGCTAAGGAGTTATGATAATTGACAACCAATCAAAAAACTATTCCCCGTTGTGTTGTAGTTTTCCCTATTGTTACGTTTCTCATACGTATGGCACGTTCAGTAAATTGGCAATGTCTCCCTCTCTCTCTCCCTCTTAGACCACCAAATTATTGATGTACCGACCAACGGTTTCTGCTTTGTTATTCAGGAAACAAAAATTTCTATTATTTTTCCTCCTCCATTTTCTTGTAAAAAAATCTATCTGAAAACGTAATATATATATACGCCTATATATACATGACAACAAATGCATCTTACAGAATTGGCTTCGGAAATTTAAATTATTGAAATCAGAATTTAAAAATAAATAAAACTCCGAAGCTAATTGGATAATTTAAATTTCAAAAATTCAAATTTTAACCAATCGCGTATCAAATTTCGAAATTTTTTAAAAAATGAATTAAACATTTTAAACTAATGAAAATCTATTTAAAATAAATAAAATAATGTTTAACCAATTAGAAATCTTATTTATTTTAAATTTAATAATAATTTTAAAAAATCTTTATGTAAAAATGCATTTGATTTGCGGAAATTAAGTATAAAAATGTAAAAAAATTCTGCGAACAAGAATAAAAATTTTTAAAATGAGATTTAATACCGTAATATTTAATTTTATTTAAGAAAATCTCGTGAAAATATTGAAAATATCCATGAGATACTTTAAATTAATTAAAGATCACATCTCATCCATCTCTATGTAATTATGAAAGATGTTAGCGTAGTGATTTCAGAGAATAACAAAAGATAAAACTAAAACTTTTAAAAAACCGATAAAATCCGCCGGTTGGATGTAAAACTTTAAAGTTTACGACAACTTGAACAATTATCGACGAAGATAACTTTGTTATTTCTGAGTTCCCTTCAGTCAACATATGGCACAGTTCGCTCTCTTGATAACAAAGATGACGCACAGGAACATGGCCGTCCCTAGAGGTTGCTCTTATTCCAACACCTGGTGTTTCTCATTGCAACCCAACAAGAATCCTACTAAGCTACCTCCATCGCGTGTTACTACATAAAACCCCTTTTGCCTGAATTATAGATAAATGTATCAACACTTACGGAATGTTATTAATAGCCATGCTTTTTTTCTCATTATTAACAAGAAAGGGGTTGAAAGGGTTTCGTTGAAACCAATAGTTGCCAGATTGTATGGTTATTGTGTGTTAGACACGTTATCTTTTGATGGAAGTTATAGACTGGTAGTTAGATGGACAAGCTTTTCTATTTTATTTCTACTAGGAGTTATTTCTGTCCCCCATTCCACTTTACAGGATACTGAAATTCCTCCCCCCATTCTTTCTTCACCGGTTGCTTCGTCTGGGTTGCTCTTTCGCTAAAAGACTGCACGTTTCTATGGCAACCCATCCAGGAGATGATCTGATGTTTAGATGTTGCGTGCTGTTACCCCCTCAGTGATCTTCCCAACCAAATGGTCCACTAGTGGTTAATTTTCTGTAAGAATTCCGAGTTTTAGATAATAGCTTGGTTACGATATTGTAATAGAATAGGAACAACAAAATTTCCTCTCATCCATTATTCTTGAGTAAGAAAAATACTCCAATAATATCTTCTTCAACTATTTATATAAATTTGTAAGAGGAAGAAAGAAAAAATACAGCCATGTAATGTGTTATACAGACTTTTACAAAATAGTTTTTCTTCTGTATATTTTTCCAAGGAGAATTATTAAATCTCTTCACTTTCAAAGTTTTCAATCTACGAATGGCGAAAATGCAATAAGTTTGAAAAGAAATTTTAAATTTTAAATTCTAATCTAAATTTTAAAAATGTGAAAAAGTTAAAAGGCATTAGGGGTTATTGAGAATTTAAATCCTTAAAATAATATTTCTCCTCGCAGTCACGAACAATATTTCTCTGCATAATATCACTGTTTTCCAATAAGCTAAAAAGATGAGAGTTGACTACAAATAGGTTGGAAAAGTAATTTAAACAATAAAATTTTATTACATTTTTAACGTTCTAACAATAATGAATAAAGCAATAATATAATACTTCATAAATTCTGAAGTCTTTTTTTTTCGAACCCTTAAATTCGATATGGTTGGATGAACGAAGCGGTTAAATGCGTGCCTGCTGCTCTGGGGTATTCAGTTTTGAGTCCCTAGTTAGTTCCTTTGAAATTTTCGTGAAAGATATGACCGGATATATTGACTTTCTTCTCTCAGCACCCGCGCCCTTTGCTGGTCTGAAAGAATTCGTGATGGGCACGCGAAAGAAGACCACCCCTTACAGCCTACAACTTTATAGAATTTAGAAAGAAAACTTAAGATTTATATAATTTTGACATGAATTTAAAAATCTAACGTTCCTCTTTCTGAAATAAATATAAATTTTTTAAATACTAAAACACTAGTATTAATACAGTTCGTGTATTATATTCTAGTAAACTATACTAGTACAAACTGTACTATTATATGAGAGGTCTCGGAAAACAGTTATTAGTGGGGTCCAAAATATTTTCTAAAATTTTTATTTTTGGATGAAATTTTCTTAGAAATTTGGAAGCGCAGGCTTCGGATTGAGGCCTGAAAATCCGACGTCTGAGCCAGATGAGTTTACGTATTGTACTAAAATTATTGTTGTAATTATTACTTAAATTAAAATTAGGCAAAAATTCGGATCCATTTGGAAATAATATACAGAAGACTTAAGAAATAAAATCTAGTTTTAATCGCGCTGTAAGGATTTTCTATGCTCTTGAGATTGCTGCCATTGTTTGAAAAGTTCTGTCTTTGAACCAACAGAAACGAAAATTGTGCAACTGTATCAATATTTATTTTAAAAATAGAAACTAAAATTAAAAAAAAGGAGAAATGCTATCATTTGTACGAAACTTTATTCTTTTTATTAGAAACTAGTATTATGTCAACTCATTTTCTTTTGTGATGTTTCGATATATAAAGTCTACAAACAAATGTTTTGTTGCGATTGTCGTTTCCTGGGAGACATATCAACAATAACGCCTCTTTTATCATTACTTCTTTTTATTCTTTAACCCAATCTCTCATTGGTTAAAATTTTCATCAATAAAAAAGAAAACAATTGAATCACTGGAATTAGATTCAAAAATCAATCATAAATTCTAACCATAAAAATATTTATTTAAAAAAATTCTATAAATTATTAAATATTTAGCTTTACATATAATTTAAAATATTTTAAATTTAAATCAATCATTTAAAATAAAATTTTAAAATTTCAACCAATTAACGATCAATATTTCAAAAATTTAAATTTCGTCACAAACGTTTCAACCAATATTAACTGAAAGCTTATTTTAAATTCAAATATAAGTTTAAGTGTTGCCAATTTCCGAATCTGTTAAAATTAATGAGTTCTGATATAATTTTTTAAAATTTTATATTTAATATTCGTCAAAAAAGGAGAAAATTTTAACATTACAAAAGGATGGAAATTATTCTTTAGGAAAATAATAAAAGCAGAACAGAGTTGTTTCAAAAGCAAAGTCATCAATAATATACCAAGGGCTATCTTTCTGTAGCAGACGTCTATTCGACGATAGAAAAGTGACATAATTAAAAATAATTACGCTTGTAGAAAGATGATTAATGTTGAATAACTCGTACATTCGTTTGTTCGTGTCAAAGGCTAGTCGCATAAAAATATCCCTTATATTCCTCAAGAGTATTGCAACCTTAAAACCAAATTAAAACATTAATACCGACATAAATTCCCGGTTATTAGCATTTTTCTTTAAAGGAGAAAGAAAAACAAAAAGTATATTTTAACCAATTAACTCGTACTCTTATAAAGTTTAACGATATTTTAACGTCTCCATTATTTAAAGCAGAAATTATGCGAACAAATGCTACGTATTCTCCACACCCACGCGAAAAATGGCAACTGTCCATCACAATTAATATTATTATTTCCCTTCGTGACGCGCGTTATTGCTCTCATAAAGGCAAAATAAATTTGGCATTTAATTCTTTATCGCATTATACACATTATTATCTGGAGATATTTAAGAGGTTATCGATTTATTCACAAACTTATTATCTTCTTTTTTTTTAAAAAAAAAAGAGTGGAGTGGAGTCAATCGGAACATCTGCTTCGATAACTATTTTTCTTATTCTTTCATCTTGAGTAGAACTAATCTCCCTAGATTATATTGAAGATGAGTTTCTCCTCAATTAATTCGCTCCATTTACATATTAGAAGTCGTTTAATGTTCTTATATAATTTATCTATACTTTCTGTCTTTAGTCAAAGAAGTTAAAAAAAAAAAAAAACTATACCTTCGAGTTCCATTTGTCTTAATGTTCGAATGGTATCATTATTATAATGATTGTTGATTGTGATTTTGTTCGTTTTTTCTTCAAGTATTTTGGTTATAAGTCGTGGGTCGTTAATGCTTATTATTCAGTTTTAATTAATGGCATGGTTGATGTCGAATCATTTGCTTGTTACAGATTTGATTTATTGTTTCTTCTTTTTCCTCTAATGAATTCGGCAACTGTCGATTTTATCTCGATTCTGTCAGAACGATTTTCGGTTAACAAGTTAGCATCTATCCTATTGAAATGCTTCTAGCGAGGTGTGTTAATGGTTTTCGAGGGATTTTTTTTTCATACATCTCTTGTTATGAGCAACATAAATGAATTTCGAACGGAGATAGATTTATCGTTCGTTCCTAGAGAAATTTCGACATACTGAAACTAACTGTAACAAATTTTAGGTGGAGTTCTCTATCAATCGTTCACTTATAATAAATGCATCAGCGAATTTTTGGTGGAGTCCATTCGATCAACATCTGGTTGAGATGTGGGTATATGTTTGTCTCCTTTGAAATTATATACTTAATTCATACTTGAGTGATCGACACCGCCCAAAATTCAAGTGTCTTTAATACAAATCCTTAGCTGATAAAGCTCTTCAGGAACATACAAATTTCCGATAACAAAGTGCTGCAAGTGAGCAAGTTAACTCAAGAGGGATCTTTGATGTCAATGCAATCCGTGGCAAAATTCAAAAGTTAAATGAACCGATGCATAAATTAAAAATACTTTTCACCATTACGTGGATTTAAGTTAATTTTTAAAGCAACAGGTCATTTCTAACAGCAACGGAAAATGAATTGGAAAATGCCAGACACAGGTTATTCGGGAATTCAATATTCTATACAGCAAAGAGCGGTGCGCTTTGAGGATAACATTACATCACCATTCTTCAAAATTAAGCTGATGTCAAGATTTGACTGTTTAAAAACCAAACTTTAATTAAGAATTCGAAATATTCCGATTTAGTTATTGAAAATTCTAGAGAGATTGCAATGCGTTCTAACTTTCTAAATTCTGTCAATATTCCGTAACTACTCGAGCCGAAAATCGCAGGTGTTAGAACAGAAAATCTCACGTCATCTTTATTTAAAATGAAATCGTAAGTTGAGGATTTCAGAACTAAGTAGGAATATACCACTGGATCTTAATTATAATCATCATTAAGCGAATATTTTCTAAACGAGAGAGCCCCGAATAATTTAAATGCAGCAAATGATATCATCGGATGTTGGGTAGCGCTTTCATGACGTCAAAGGTCCGATATTCTAAATGATTTTTGGCTTTAGGGTACTTAAAAGTGTACTGGGATCGCTACTTAATGCTCTTGGAATTATACGATTCGATAATACGGAAAATTTTATTAATCCCATCAGAAATGGTACTCCTGATTGCAAGCTACATTATCTCTTTATATACGCAGAAGAGCCCACGAATCGAAGAATTTTAAGATAATTCTCACTTCTTTTCTCTTGGTTTTAATTAAAAATCCATTATTTTAAAAATATTAAAACATATTTAAAGATTTTAACTAGTAAAAACTGCACGCCAATTCCGTACCGATAATCAATTTAATGGGAGCTCAGAGCGGTCATTACATTAAGCAAATTTTGGCCAGAGTTGAAAGGTTAAACCGAGGTTATCTGCAAGCATGTTCTCCATTCATTTAACCCGCTGTAACCTCCAAAAATTTGTTAGTTAGTGGAAGCGTTACGGCAACACATTAACGATTGGGAGGAGCGAGACGTAGAGACTTAACATCTGTCGCCTGGTATGTACTGTACATTAATTACCAATGGCATATAGTGCCATCTATCGTTATATTTATTGCTAAAATTAAAATTAAAAAAATTAAAATATAATACCTTACGCGTAATCACCGTCTAAATCGATGTGTGGTAATTGTATCATCCGGTAAGATGCGTGACGTCATACAAAAGGATTAATAATAATTTGAGAGGGCGCACATTATTCATTCTAATCGATCGAAACTTCATATTATTGAAAAATCTCCTTCCTCCTATAATATAAAAAGGAAACACACCCATTCGTTTCGTTACTTCGAACCGAAATTCTAAAAAAAATATATATATATATATTAAAATTAAAAAAAATAAATAAATATTTAATTACCTTCAATTATGCAACATCAATCATCTAGGAAGTCATGCGAACAAAATTTAAATCTTCAAAAATTAGAGAGAAGAGACTAAAATGAAAACACGGAGCGGAAAAAAACGGAGGAGTTTATATCTGAAACGAAATTAATGAAAAGAAAAACAATAAAATGAAAAATTAATCGCGTTTTTTTTATCTTCCTGTTTAGGAATTAGAAGTCATTAATTTTCATTTTAAAAAAATACGCATTAATTTTTGCTAGTGGTTGGTCAAATAAACCAATGGAAAATTCACTTTTGCTATTGTAACCGTTTTTCTTTAAATTTTTTAAATATTATGACGTAATAATAGTTTCGATAATATTTCTGTTGTGATTTTATGACGTAATAATGTCGTGTATGTGTTAAAAGTACAAGAGAGCATAAATAACGAACAATTAAAATATGTTTGGTGCTATTATATTTATTTATATTTAAATAAACAAATAATAAAATGGGAAAAATGAGAAACGGAATAATTAATTTTAGTTTTTTTTTTTTTAAATTACTTGTTGATTTTTCATATTGGTTAGTCGGTCGATAGAAACTTCTTTTGTTACTGTGACGTTTTTTAAATATTATGACGTAATAATCGCTGCAATAATATGATAAATTCATTTTTACTGTGATATAATAATGTGTATTATGTGACGAGAATATCGTGAGTGTTATTTTGATATTTTAACGTATAATTTATAAGTAAAAATAAATTGTTAAATAGATATTAAGTCGTTTGTTATATTTTCTCATTAATTTTCTTTAAAAAAATTAATTTTCGTTACTTTGATAAACCAATTGTATGTCGTGTTTGTTACTGTAACGTTTTTTAAATTTTTAATAAATATTATGACGTAATAAATCTTCAAAGACTACGATAAATTTTGTTTTTTATTTTAAATTAAAAAACTAATTTTTTAAATTATATTTTTTATTTATTTAAATATAATGATATCATTATATAGACGGTGAGACCTGTGTAAACCGGACTCTTACAGTATCGAATATTATTTCCAATTTGCAGGTTTCCGTTTTAAACAGGTTTTTTAAACACTGAAAATCGCTCCATTTAGGCGGGTTTCCGTTTTATTAAGGTTGTGCTTTGGACAGGTTTTACTGTATGTCATAATATACAGTAAAATCTGTCCAAAACGAAACCTGAATAAAATGAAAACCTGCCACACGGAGCGCTTTTATATGTAAAATAAACCTATTTAAAACAGAATCCTGCCAAAACGGAAAAATATTATGTGTTCCGATTTACACAGGTATATACGTCTAGTATACCTGTGTAAATCTCTAGTATAAACGTCATAATAATATCAAAAATAAAAAATGAATTATTATTTAAATTATTTTCAAATTAATTACTGTAATCAATAAAATTTTTTTAAATGTCGAATACTGTGACGTAATAACGTTTTTCATAATAATAAATCGAATTTTTGCAATTGTGACGGTTGTTAAAAAATATATTATGACGTAACGACTCCATTAATAGCATTATGATATTTAATAATACGTGGATATCGTAACATAATTACGTTATCCCACAGTCATGACGTCATAACAAACTCTATTACCCCAAGTATGAGGTCACAGTAGCGAAGAATAATAATTTTATTATTATATATTTAATGATTAATCGCGAATAAAAGGAATAATTATTCGAAAAATGCGCTAGAAATTTTGGAAATTGAATTATTTAAACAAAGCAAACTTATTTGAAACGTCACAATAACTGGGAAAATAACATAAGGCAATGTGTAATAACACAGAATAATTGCAAGTGTGAGAATCGATATAAGTGTAATTTTGTCACATGTTTGTAAGCAGCAAAATAGAACCAAAAAAAGAGGGGAAAAGACACACACACAATAAAAAGGATATTAATGAGGGGAGGGAATAGGTAAAAAAAAATAACAAAAAACAAAGGAAGAACACACAAAAAATAACGACCAGTGAGGTCATAGTTGGCGACATGTGTTCGTTCACCTCATTGGTGAGCGGAGTGATGACCAGATGGCGGCATCGTATAGAAGGGTGCCTTGTGCCAAGACCCTATGTACACTGACAGCGGTGCTTCCACCATCATGGCTGTCTTTGTAAAGTTGATTCTGTTTACGTCTTTCTTGGTCTCTGCGATAAGATCGACATCAGTTCTAGTAGACGACAGGTACGTTTTGTGTGTTTTAAAACAGTTCCCGTTATTTATTCCTTGAGGTTTTACGGGATCCTTGGGCGTGGTCACGTGACGTAAGCTCTCGATAGAAATGTAAATTTAATAAAAGAAGAAAGGGCGTCCCGTGTTATTGATGGGCATGTGTTGAATGAGGTTGATATGAATGACTTATCTGGGTTTCCTGTCAGATAAAGAGGCTCATTCATTCATTGTTTATATTTTAAGTCTTCTATCACTTGATTTAGCTTGTTTTTCCTGTTACAGATCCCTACATCAGATAAGCTTGTTTATTATTGATGTAGCATCTTCTCTACCTTGTTTATTGATCTACCGGTGATTGATGAATATAATTTTTTTTCTATTTTAGATAATTTGTCCCTCTTTTTTGGAGTAAATAAGGCACTACATGTGATCTTATCTATTATAGTGATGATTAAAAAAAATTTCAAATGATATCCGAATAACAAATTACAGAATTTTCCCTTAATCTGCATGTTTATATTATAATAAATGTATTGTATTTTCTTTTTATAGCTTACCAGAAGTGAAAGAGAATGGCGTGGAAGGATTTTGTCAGCTCTATCGAGGTGTGACTTGCTCTCAATTTATAGGTAACAAAACTGTTTATGTCAATTCGCTCTATAGTCTGAGCAAGATGGAAGAGAAGCTGACTGCGGCGTTTACGGTCATTGCTACCTCGCATGATGTGTCCGACGAATGTAATAAATATGCCATCCCTTCTCTGTGTTTCTTTGCCTTTCCTCTGTGTGATGAAAATGTTCAGCACCCCATGCCTAGACAAGTCTGTAGAGATGAGTGCGAAGTATTAGAAAGTATCATCTGCAGAATGGAATATTCCATTGCAAAGAGGCACCCACTGCTCGGCCAGAAGAAAATTTTGCCAGTCTGCGAAGAGCTGGCGCCGGTTGGATCAAAGGAGAGTGAAAAATGTATGCGTTTGGGTGTTCCTAGTGCAATACAAGTAAATCGAGGTAAATGGTATAATTTATATTCTTTCCAACGCTACCGTACTATTTAGAGTTCTATTATTAAATCATAAATACTTCCAGAACATACCTGTTATGAAGGAAATGGAGAGCATTATCGAGGAACTATGTCTCAGACCGCTTCGGGTCTTAAGTGCCAGCACTGGAGTCATCAGATTTTCTTCCGCACCGCCGATTATCCAGAACTAGTAGGCGGTCATAATTACTGTCGTAATCCTGGCGGAATGGAGTCGCAGCCCTGGTGTTTTACTACCGACCCCGAAATTAGAAAAGAGATCTGCAATATTCCCCAATGTGGTTAGTTATTTAGAATGAAGTTTTTATTAACTAAAAATTAAAATAGTGTGCATTTAAATTCATTAAAATAAATAAAAGAAAAAATAATTGGACGCAAAGGAAAATAAAACTTATCTGCAGTCTTATCTTAAAATGTTAATTAAGTAAATTTAAATTATGTAAATAATATATATATTTTTTCTTAGTTCTGAACTTACTCTATTATATATTTCTTTGGTTCTTCTCTGGCATTTATTTTCCTGAAGCAGTTTATTCAAATGAATCTTAATATGCATAACTCATTACATTTCTTCCTTTATATAATAACAACCAATTATTTTTAAGTATAATGTACTTTTTTCCATTTATACAAATGAGTGACTAATAAAACATCATAAAAAGGTACTGGCAAATGATAACAATCACCAAAACAAAAATTACACTGTCTAATAATGAAGAAATAATAATAATTTAAAATTTTTGATTGATTAACCTTTCCATTTCTTAATTATTTACAGACATTAATGATAAAAAAATACATAAAAAGTTGATTCGAAGACTTGATAAATTGATTAAAAAATGATCTTAATATTAAATCTGTTGATGTTTGCTACAGTTTTCTTCACGTAAGCATTCGTTTATATATTCTTCAAATGTTAAAACATTACATCTGATAGTAAATTGGAGATAACATCTATTTTTAGCATGCTGTTGCTCTTTTGAAGTGCAAAATTGATACATACAATATGTACATGATCAATGACAATAATATTGATGTTAACTTTGCATGCAACTGATGTTATGATAAGCATTTGAATAAACAACATTTTTTTCATGAAATAACGTTGACAGATGGATAATCAAAGTGATAAAGCCATCATCCTGCTGCTTTGAGAATGAGGATTCAAGCCAGACAAACTCTCAAATTTTCAAGGTAGTTCCAGATGTAAGAATGTTCTGTGCCACTTAGCATTGTTGTGGGTTTGAGTGAAACTATAATGAGCTTGAAAAATCAATCTATTAGTATTGGCAGGATGAAGATATTGATAATGTAAGGCATATAGGTTAAAATATCTTTTAAAGAATCAAGTTGAAGCTATAAAGATGTCTATAGTCAGTCAAGTAATAAACTAAGGCTAAAATAAGCAGCTATTACTGGTATTATTATCTATTATTTTGTAAAAGCTGAGAAGGCGTAGTTTTATATTGAATGCTGTTGTATTTTCTTTGTCCATTGGTCCTTTTCTTTATATAAAATTTACTAAAAATCAAATGTATTAGCAATTTAAAAGTACTAATGTTTTATTTATAAAACAACTATAAACTATAGAAAATTCTATCCTTCTAAAATACCATATTCAACAAAGAATGCTTTAAAATTAAAAGAGAATGGTTCATCCGTAATAACACATCCATGTTCTAAAGGAATAATGATTCTTACAGAACAAAACGATTGTTTTAAACAATGGTTCTTGACCTTCTCTGGGGTATGAGAGTGCGTTTTAAAAATTTAGGGGTGCATTGTTTAAATTTTTAAAATGCTCTCTCATACACCATTATAAAATTCATGAGGAGTTTTTATTTAAGCATATTTCCATGTTCTTGCTTAGATTAGCCTAAGTTAAACTAATCAATTAAGGAAATTCATGCCCATTCATTAATATAAAAACTTGAGTATGTATTTTTTCCATTATATATTCAAATCTGATATTGATACATTTTCATTAAAATCTTCTTTTAAAAAAGACTTGGTTTACCATTATGAATGAAAAATATTTCTTCTTTGATTGATTAAAGTTTTGATCTGTCAAGAAGTGTTTTACATTTCAAGTTCAAAACCATTTAGGTTTTGAACTTGAAATGTAAAACACTTCTTGACAGATATACCAAGGGAATTTATGTTAAAACCAGTTTTTGTATGGCAAATGTTCTATGTAATAAAGATGCTCATAGACACCAAAACCAACAACAAACTCCAATCAACCCATCTGTTAATCCCCTCCCTTTTGTTTTAATGATATAATTTTGTATCCATGTGCAAAGTTGGAGATTATATTGTATGAATGTGCAAGGCTTCTTACTACTAGAATCTTTTGAATTGAGTCTGTTCTAATTTACAAATTTTGTTTGATTCTGCATTCTAAGTAAATTTATCTGATGATGAATGTTTCAAATGGATGAAAATGTTTCTATGAGTAAAGTTATTGGAGTTTGTTGGTGGTTTTGGTGTTGTGAGTGAATTTACATTAGATGTTCAGTATAAGTTTAATACTGAACTAAACTGTTTAATAGTCCAGTATATCATTCTAATTTATATGCTTGGATTTACAAAATACATGTATGTTTATTTATAAAAATATCAGATATTAAATAAATATACAATTTAATTGTATAAATATTCAATATTTATACAATTAAAGATAGTTGGTGGATAGCTTTAAGTTGAATGTCCAACTGTCAAGTATTTGAATATTCTTATTATTATAAAATTAAAGTGTATTTAGCTCAGTTATATGAAAAATAGCAATTAAAATACAAAATGGTTGGCTTTGTTTATAAAGAAACATCTAAATTTCAGATTCTTCCACTTATTGATCTCACAAAATAGTATTTTGAATTTTAATATCTTGAAGTTTGAGTAAGAATAGTCATTATATAAAAACTATGTTTAAATTTTTGAATAATCCTAAGAAAAGCTATGAAATATGCCCTTTGAAAATTAATACAGGAGATTCTAAATTATTCTGGGGGTTTCATGCCATGGATTATAATTTTCAAACTAGAAACAACAAAATGAAACTGCATAGAAGATATAAAAGTGTAACTCAGAATGTTTTATTTAGCCGCACTATACCTGTTGAATTGATGTCCTTGAGATATGTCATCGTACTTCAACATGGCAACTGTTTAACTCAGTGGTTCCCAAACTTTTTTGATTTTAGGTTCCCTTGCTAAATGCAAATTTTCCCAAGGTGCCCTATGTCAAATTCCAACAAGTACATTAAATTCTAACATTATAAAAATTTTAACATTTCATGGAGTCCCTGTGAGGAAGCTGCAGCACACACTTTGGGAACCGCTGGTTTAACTAATATGCATATTTTGTTTTTCAAAACAAAGTCCATTATCATGAAAACAAAGAAAATATCCACCTTTGGATAATGCTGATGTTGGTTAAAGCAGTGTTGTGTTTTCCTGGGCAGTGGGTTAGGTATGATGGATAAATTTTCTGGTCTCCACACTCACCTGATATTACATCACTTGCTTTCTTCCTGTGGGATAAGTAAAGCACAGTTTAAAAGACTCCTGTACTTCCTCGATGAACTGAAGCTCAGAATTTTGGCCACAATAGACAAAGCTACACTGCAAGTGCTGGAGAATGCATGGAGGGAAATTGATTATCATCTGGAAATTTCAACGTGCATCTTTTGAGGCACATATAATTCTTTAGCATTTGACAGCATAGATTTTTGTTGTTTCCAGTTGAAAAATTGTAGGACACAAAAACCCCAACAATAATCTATTATTACATGTCTTTTGCTCCAAACAATTAAAGGATATTGCATTATGAGTTTAATATTATTTGAATTTGTCCAACAATTAATTTTACATAAAATAAAAATAATAATGCAGTAAATTAATAATAAAATAAAACCAAAAAAAAATAATTTAATAATATTAATTAAGGAAAAACTTAATTTATAAGAGACAATTTATAACTGAAATTTCAAAATTAAGTTTCTCTTATATTTATGCCTGTTAAAAACAATTTAAAAATTATCAAGGGACACTTATAAACACTAATTATTTCATTATTGCTAAATCGAAAGTAATTGACGATGAGTCTGTAGTTTTATTTTATGATTTGGAAACTATTTTATACTTATGAGTTTTGTGTTAACTTACTGATGTATTGGAAATTTTGGCTCCTCCACAAAAGAATGCATTATTTAAATATTCCATACATCCATGCACTGCACAGCGAGCTGCTAAACTCGATTTTTCTCCCCAGTTAACGCCATCAGCCAAAGCAATTATGGCATTGTTTTGTCTCATGCAGATACCAAAACAATCTGCAATGGGATCACCTATAAGTATAATAATATATAAGTTTTAACAATAGAAAAACAATGTAGAAAGTAATGATAATGCTGTTTTATAATATGTTAGTCACGACAGGTAGAGCCACGATGACTAAGCATTAAAGTATTTATGACCGAATACAAAAGAGAACCATGAAAATTCTTATCTGCTTACCTGCATTTGCTTTTGTAATTGGATTAAATTCATATAATGTTGTGGAAATGCCAAATGCATTCTCATTGGGCATGTTCCAATCTTTAATTCCCGCAATTTCGTCGTCATCACCTGCAAAATTCAAATTGTATAATGAATATCTTTAAAATTTTATCTCCAAAAAAATTTCCCTCAACAATTTTGAATTAATTATCCTTTGAAATTCACAAACAACTATATTAATTATACATTAATATTAATGATATTCAAATATGTAGATGATTTGACTACTCATTGTTTCAAACTTCAATGACTAATATATCCTGTAATTAATCAATTAATTCAATCTATTCAACTTACTTGAAGTTCCCGAATCTCTTCTTTGTTCTGCTAATTTTTTTGGTTCTTCACCGAATCTCTCCTCATCTTTTAGCAAAGTTGAAATATTATCGCAACTGCTGACGAAGTCTTCATCGATAAAATCGACGTCAAGATCAATTCTTTCAAATGGTTTGGACCTGTTATTGACTCTTGTGAGACCACCAGATGGTCCGGTATGGGAAGCAATAATATCATTTGAAAATATGGCAAGTTCTTTCACTGGAAGATCATCGCTTGATTTGGCACAGAAGATGTCGGGTTGAGTTTTACGAACTTCACTGTAAAAGTTTGACATAATTAATAAATTTTTACAACAAAACACATGTGCAATATTATTTTTATAAGCATTATTATAGCTGAATTTTAATATATTACAATAATTTTTCACCTGGATTAAATTGTATTTATGCTCTAATTTTTTGTTCTGAATACATTTGTATAATATGGTCTATTTACTTTGCTATAGGAAACTTTGTGACTGTTAATAATATATAAAAAAAATCATATTTGCAAAACTATAATAANCATTTAATTTTTTTTTTTTTAGGAAATTTCTATATATTGTATACAAGCCATACTAAATGAAATTTATTTAGTAAGCATACAATAAATACTAAATTTTAAGATTTTAATGTACAGTAGTTAGTTGATGAAGATACATTTTAAAGAACAGCTAAAACTGGTTTGGAAACACCTGCATGTTATTATTCATGATTCAGCTGCTTAATTGGAAGTGACTGAATCAGAAATAATTTTGGTCAACTGACTTTTAGACTACCCCATATCAGTCTGAAGAGAGATAATTAAGCTGAAAATGTATGCAACATTGATCGTTTTTTATTTTTTAAAATATGTTTTTACAGGAATGTATAAGTTATAATTCAGTAATAAGATACCTTTCATATAATTATTGTCTGCAATAATAATTATTATTTTTTCAGTTGATTATTTATGGCTGTACATCCTGCTTCCAAGTATCGCATCGGTGGCGTTTATCGGATTGGTCCTGGGATTGTGGTGCGTTCGTCAGAGAAACAAGCCGTCTCCCCCTCCAGCTAAAAGTGCCAAATTACCATCTCGACCACTGAGCCAACAGGGACAACACCAACAGATGGAAATGAAAGCTTTAATACCACGCACACAATTGAGAGTACCAGAAATTCCCTTAACATCTGTAAGATTTCTACAAGAATTAGGTGAGGGTGCTTTTGGTAAAGTCTACTGTGGTGAGTTACTGGGTGCTCATGGTAATGGTAGCATCACACCTGTAGCCATTAAGACACTCAAGGAAAATGCTACTTTGAAGACGCAACAAGATTTTCAACGTGAAGCAGAATTAATGTCTGATTTACAGCATCCAAATATTGTTTGCCTATTAGGTGTGTGTACTAAAGAAGAACCCATGTGCATGCTATTTGAATACATGTCTCAAGGAGATCTTCATGAATATTTAATAATGCATTCTCCACGATCTGATGTTTCTGCCAGTAGTGAAGACGGAACACCACAGATCTTGGATTTGCCAGATTTTCTGCATATTGCTAAACAGATTGCTGCTGGTATGGAGTATTTAGCAAGTCATCATTATGTACACAGAGATCTTGCAGCACGAAATTGTTTAGTAGGAGATATCTTAACAGTCAAAATATCAGATTTTGGACTTTCTCGTGATATCTATTCTTCCGACTACTACAGAGTTCAGTCTAAGTCACTTCTTCCCGTTCGCTGGATGCCGCCAGAATCAATCTTGTATGGGAAATTTACAACCGAAAGTGATGTGTGGTCATTTGGAGTCGTTCTTTGGGAAATATTTAGTTATGGACTACAGCCATATTATGGCTACAATAATCAGGAAGTAATTGACATGATACGTTCACGTCAACTACTGCCTTGTCCCGATGACTGTCCAGCACATATTTATGCAATGATGGTGGAATGCTGGCATGAGATACCTTCTCGCAGGCCAAGTTTCAAAGAGTTGCATGCCCGACTGTGTTCATGGCAGGCAATGCATGTGAGAACCCTTAGCCTGAGCCAGTCGGTCAGTACTCATAATGGCAGCCAGCATAGTAGCACAGGTCCTAGTAACAATACTGGATCTACCAATTTGAGTACTGCCACACCCACAGTTCTGCCTCTGGCAGCATTCCAGCAATCATCGATTGGTGCTTCGCCTAGTCAGTTCAAGATGAATCATAATGTGGGAACAAACATTCCTACCGGAGATCAGTTAACATTAATAACTGGCAACAGACCTGGTACGCCCGTAGTGAGACAGGTCCAATCATCGTTAATCCCACCATATCACATAACAGATGGTAAGATTTCAAAAGTATGAAAGAAATGAATGTTTAAACGTAAATGAAGTTGCACAAAATCCTGTGAAACTGTTTTCAGTTAATTTCTTTGCAATCACCGATGATCCCTGCACAAATCACACCTTTCCTTTTTACCAGTGTGTGTCTGACAATTAATCGAATGTATATAATGACCGTCATGGACCATATCATGCGGCGTGCCGCTGCTTCGACTCGGATCATAATGAGAATAACTCGGTTCATTTCGTTCTTAGCCCGAGTACTATTTTATTGAAAGGTTTCTGGTTTTATTGTTTGCAAAATGTACAGCTCAACCTCTGTGCCTTTAGTTTACGGAAACTTTTTTCTCCAGAAATAGCATTCTAGATCACTTTTAATCCATTTTAAATTTAGATATGGTTCAGCTGTATACATAAGAATGACGACAATAAAAATATTAACACTAAAAAAAACAACAAACCTAAGATCAAAACAAAAAAAAAAAGAAACCAAAATATTTTATATCAGTGTTCTCATATTGTGTTGATTGTAACATTTTCCATTTTTATATATCATTGTGTTGTTATTGATTGCTTGTGGTAAACTGTAAATTTTTTTCCGGTTGGACTGCCAATTTTTGTAAAGTGTATTGTCACATTGTTCGCAGCCATTGTGGCTAGTCATGTTTTATGCTGTCAGACCAAAGGTGTGGTTAATTTTGGTGCGGTATCTACTATAGATTGTGTATGTTAATTTTTGCTTGTGGAATAAATAATTCATCATGATATATATATTATATATATCTATATATATATATATTTCAATTGCCTTTTATATAAAAAAAGTGAGATTCACAATACTTTATGAAGTGTTTTTATTTAAAACGGTACAAGAAATGAAGATTTAGATGGTACAGTATAAAGACAAATTACACTCTCCTCTATGTGACTTTTAAGTCTCAGAATGTTCAAATAATCAAACAGGATTATCGGTTATCATTTTTACGAAATTTGACATAAATATAAATTGCCTGATCTACAAAAAATGACTAGGTTTGTACCATCTTTGGTATGACACGGGATGGAATGCTTCGTATGCCATATTTATCTAAAATTTCTAAAATCTAATTGGGTCATCGTATGTTCATTACAGAAATTTGTTAGAGATGAATTTAAAAATTGAGCTTCGGAAGAAAAACCGAACTGTTTACAAAATCAAAATTAAACTTACTTATCTTTGCACCATAAAATAGGAATGTGTTGCATAAAATTTGATTAAACACTCATTTAATGCACTTAAAAAACAAAGAATAATGTGATTTCTCTTAAATATTTCCTGCGCAATATTTATAGGAAAAAAAAAATTGCACGCAAAATTAAGGAAAAGACAAAAGCTTTCTGAGCAACATAAATGAGCACAAGGTTTTTAAAAATATATAAAACATTTTGTATATTATATATATATTTATATAAATGCATATATTTTGAATAAAATGCACCATAATTCAACGTTTACTTTAGACTTTCTCTTGTTCAATCTCTAACCTTATTAAACTTTCTAACAATATAACTTGTCTTTCGAGCAAAAATACTATGGCATATACAAGGTATATACACCGTCTACTGTCGCATCTGCAAGATGGATACTTGTTCGTCATTCATGCTTTTGAATTATGTTAAAAGCACTATAAATAAGGCAGTATAGAAATCAATTGCATTAAATTACTGCAATTCTTGGAAGTATGATGTCTTCCTAACTGAAAGTTATGTAGTAATAACTGTCGATTTAGAGAATGTTTTTATAATTTTGAAAAAAGAAAAAAAAACACATACAATTTTGTTTAAAGATTAGAAGATAATTTTGATAGAAAATTCTATTAACTTGCTAAAACTATAAACTTTTTACTGTTTGGATGGATTTAAAAATCTAAATACTTGATTCGAAATGCTGAAAATTTATGCTATCTGACTTTTTAAGATTCTTTTCTTCTGAAAAGACATTTTCTAAATCTTCGTTCTTTCTGGAGAGATCTGGCAGGCTTATTTTGTCATTGTCTGATGAATCCAATTCGTAGTTATCTACTTTGTATGCAACAATGGATGCGTGATCCAGTTTACCGGGAACGCACATTAATTTCGAACCGGCTTGTTTCCTTCTCAATCTTTGCTCTTCTTGGGTATCAGGCAGAGCACTATTTAAATATAACTCTGGATCTTCTAGAATTTTTCTCTTGGCTCTAGTAAGTTTTTTAACAAATTCAATCAATTCTTCGCAGATATATTTAGCACTCACTTCTTTGTCATCTTTTTGCTTAAGCAGGTCTTCCATTCTGAGAAGGGTCAACTCATATCGTTGGTGAGCTTCGACCTTTGGAAGATATGGTTTCTCGCTGATCGTGGGACTTTTAGTTAGTTGGCTGTTTACTCTTCTCAAAGGTTTTGTCTTTAATGGTTCCTCTTTTCTCTGACTTGCAGATCTGATTAAAATTTTGGAATTTTTGATAAGGGCAAACTTTCCTACTACAGGATCAAAATTATCAGAAATGCCATCACTGGTTAAAAATACTACATCTCCTGGATCTGCAAGAGTCATGGAAAGTGTTAGATTATTGAGTTCTGGATTTTGCCCGTCTACAGGACCTAGAGCACCGAGAGCATCCCTCATATCACGGTTGGAATAAATGTCGTGAGAGCCTACAAATGACAAAATATTTTAAATTCAATATATGTAATTCTAGATGAAAATACAGGGTGTTCCCTCAAATGTCCCCAGTTTTAAACAAGTCTATAAAATCCATTTGTTTAGATATGTGAATAAAATGTGTTGGAGAATGTTGGTCAATATTCCAAGTTTTGTGTGCATACACCCAAAAGGCTGCTGCTTCATGGTGCAATCTAGACCTCTACTGCTGTCCATTTTACATCACAGGTCCATTTCCTGGTCCTCCTGATCACCTCACATCATCTCTGAACTTGTTTCTTTACAGGCATGTCAAGCATCTTGTGTATGTTACAAAACTGCCAAACATAAGTGTCTCATGTACAAGATTCACAAATGCCACTAGGTTGAATGGTTGTGACTCCTAACATGTTGCTACATTAGGATTCAGCATGCATCCTAATATAGTAGCATGTTAGAAGTCACAACACATCAAGAGCAACCATGGAAATGTACAGATTTAATGTAGTAACTAACTTTTTCAGATGCACTTTCTATTACTGTTGTCCACAGCACTGTGTTCACATTTCTTTTCCCAAAATTAATCCACAAAACTAGAGACATTAGATTGGAACACCCCTTATATAGAAAAGCCTCTAAATATTTGTATTAAGTTTACCTTGAGTGATTTCTCGAACACCATATCGTTTACTGTAAACGTAAGCAAAGCTGTCTCCTACGTTGCAAGTACAGACGGCAAATTTTTCACTGTTTTTTATTGGACAGACTACGGCAGCACAGAGTGTGGTATGCATAGCTTTTTCTTTTAAAATCAAATTATGGGCAGCATGAAAGGATCTCAATAAGCACACAAATATGTCCTAGAATTAAAAAAACATTTATTATATTTTAAATCATTTATGTAAAGGTAATAAATAAATCTTAAAATGTATTGCAACAATGTTTAGTAGTGAAGAAACATTTTCTAAATGTAGTAATATTATATTATATTTTTATTCCAAGCCCATTCACTAATCATATTACATTATTGTAATTCAAGATTTGTATATTAACAGACTTTGAAATGTTATTGTGACTTAATACTCTAGAGCAATAACAAAGGTATCATTTTTCTACTGGAAATTTTAACTTTCATTTAAACTGGCAAATTTAATTATTTTCTATTCTACTTTATGTATATTTTTTGAAGTTATCTAAATAAAAATATTCATAAAAGTAGTCCTGAATACATATGACTATCTGCTGTCTTAAAAATTGTTCTAATAAATGGCACAGCTGCATGACAAAGAAGGTTACAGACGGCACACTCTACAAAGAGGAAGATAAGGCTTATTATATTGTAAACTGAAAAACAGCACCGTCTACTCAGCATTCTCTCTCTTACAGTATGTCAAAATGAAGCACAAGTGTGTTGAGTGTTGAGTCTTCATTCAAATAATAATAAAGTGAAAAAATTATCAGATTTATTCCATTAATAGTTGCCCTCTAATAAACAGTAGAGTCACAAGCTGAAAAATCTATTTATTAGAATAAATACAGTATATTGTGTGCTTTTGTAATGTCTTCATCTAATACTAATTATAAGTAGTCTGAACCATTTCTCATAATCTGTAACTAAATTTAATTTCATTTAATGCCCTTTAAACTATTAATATCTGTAAAAGCTCTCATTATTCATACTAAATTATTTATATCATTTCAAAGTTAAACATCAAGTGACTAATAACCTAAATTGTACTAAAATGATCAAATATTTATTATACTCAGAGCAATACACACAATGTTCATTTACTTACTATATCATAAATGTTCTAGGATATCTAAATCTAATTAAAACATTAGCTTATCCTAAACATTAACTATAATCTGAATTTATAATGGGCAATTTAAATGCCATAATATGACATCCTTTAAGATAAAAAAGATATTTAAAACTAATTAAACATGAGAAAGATTTCCATACCATATTATAATTCTGTTAGTTATTTGGAAAGTTTTAGAAATTATAAGATACAGTAAATTTTACTTGTTAGCAAATAATAATGTAAATTTTATTTTTATTTTATTATGCAATGCCTGAATATACTTTATATGTATGTTATTTTTAAAAATTATAATCATATTAATTTATTTGCAGGTATCATTTTAAGAGGAATGTGTTACCTGCAAAATGTAATTTGATGCATAACCAAAGTTTTATACATACAAATAACAACAACAGAGAGGTACATTCTTAGTTAAGAAGCATATGCCCCCCTCTGTTCTCTCTTGACTAAGCCCCTGTTTATTTGTAATTGACTATCTGATAAATGTCAAAAAACAAGCTCATATTTTGAAATAAGAACTTGTTTTAACAATCTACTAATTCATATGTATTTGTTAACATCTGATAGGAGTCTTCTGTTATTGTTAATGATACAATTGATTGCTGGATAACTGAAACTAACTTTTAAATATAAAACATTAATGAAAATCTATCAAAGAATACAGTACTAACAAAAATGCTTGAGTAATATGTTAATCATTTTCTGTTCAAACAACGAAAGAAAAAAATAATAATACATAACTGCCTCTCTGCTGAGTAAAATGTTAGATGTAATAAGTGGAAAGAATAAGGCCACATGATCAAAAATTCAAATTATGGGTCAAATACTTTACATTTCAAAAATTGTATCCCTAAAATTTCTAAAAGTGCCTTATTATATGACATAATCATACAACTGGATCATATATAATGCAACTATATCTAGATCTAGGTAAAAGGCAAATAATATAAGAAAAATATGCTTTATCTGTTGTTTTTTTCCTTATTCATTTACATATTCATTCAAATCTAACTTCTGCGAGTCAATAAACTTAACTGTGTAAAGACCATTCATACAATAATGCTCTAGCTGTGTGTCTTTTAAAGATGAAACATTAAGTGAATTTTAATGCTAGAGATTTGAGCTATGGTTCTTTTTACATTTTATCCAAACAGCAAATGAGCATAAATAAAACAATTTGGCAAATCAAAGATCTTTTCTGATAGTTTTATATATCTAATTTCACAATCTGAATAGTGGAGTGATTAATTGAAGGATAAATATGCGGTAAGATAAGAATAATGGCTGTTTATATTAACATTAGACCATTGTTTTTTAAATTTGAATAACTTAAGGACTGTTGTTAAGAAAAGAGAATAAAATTTTTCATACCTCTACATTTATTATGACTCAAATAAGATATATTCATCCATATAAAGTTTTTGAATGCATCAATAATAATAATTAGAAATATTTTAAAAATTTTTCAATCAAATACAAATTTTAATTAAATACATAAATTATTAAATGCTAACAACAACAAAACTAATTAAAATATTTTAAGGTGACGGATGCAGCTGCTTTGTCTGATATGAATAATTTTATTTCAAACATTAAGCAAGAATAAGTAAATAGAATTAATTTATGGAAGTATTTTTGTTACTTCACATAATTGTTATAATTATTTATTAATTTAAAATAAAATAAATTTGTAAACAGAATTAGTGGGTATCTGGAGAACATTCACAAGTCCCTAGTACTGTATTTGTGAACTACAGTACAAGGAACCCTGCTGTAGATAATTATGAAAATAGTTAATAATTAATTGATTTCTGTAAATTACTATGATTATTAATTAATTTTAATGCTTTAATTACTCCAGAAATTTTGTTTTTAGTTCAAGGTATAGTCTTACTCCAATATATAATATAATCAAATTAATTTATTAAATTTCCTTACAAAAATTTAATTTATTTTAATATAAGTACATTAATTGTCTTCCGTTATCTCTATATGCATTTATGTGTTTGCAAATTATCAGAATTAAATATAAAAATGTAAGAAAGATTGTCAAAATTACGTTTTTTTGTGTTATCTTCATAATTACTTTTGATTTTAGTTAATTAAAAATCAAATTACTTTACAATTCAATATTACATATCTTAAGTATTTTACCATTTAATGGATTCTATATCTAAATTCTAATTTTATTTTGTTTAATCACAGATAAAATATCAAATGCACATAAAGGCACATATTGTCCTGCAAAAATTACTGGCATTATAAACTTCAAGGAAAAATCTTGTAAAATTGACAACATAATTTATTCATGTACAGCTGGACAATCAGGAACCTTTTCTGCCAATTCTTAACGGTCGAATCCACTCTCCTTTGATTACATTTATGAGTTTCTCCAAATAATAATCTGTTTTCACATGGGAATGGATTAAAACTCATATTGCGCTCCCATGTGATTTTGGAATTTAAATCTGGAATTCAATTCAAAAGCTTTCCTTTTCCTATTGCTATTCATCTTTATTCCTAACAATACACAAGAATGATTCAAACAACCCAGATAAAATACTTTTGTTTTTAAACACCACAGAATGAGCATCTGGTAAAAAATACAAGTACACGGTTCACAAAAATTATTGCAAAAGCACAAAGAACCCTTCGCTTGCATATATAGAACAACCTAGGTTTTTTAAGCAGTGAAAAATTAATAAAAACCTCATCTTATATGCAAGTAAATACTATATATTTTAATTTTTAGTGCTCAATTTACCTATCATTTTTCTACTTACATATTAGAAAATAATTTTCCTACAGTAAATATATTTTATGTATAAATAGGTTTTCTGTATTTTTTACAATATTTTAATTTTTGACTCTTTCTACTTTGTGGGCACCAAGAGGTCCTTTAAATCATATTCATCATGATTTTACCCAATCCCATTATGGGGATTGGGTAATGAGGGATGAGGTACAACATATCTGGGACAGATACCCATAAAAACTTTCTGGCATTGCTGCACAAATACACCTTAAATGTATTGGCCATTCAGCCATCTGTTTTCTGTATTTTTAAGTGCAACTTTTAAATTTATATAACAAAAATGTATTTGCAAGGGAAAATCAACAGAGATTGCTTTAATTTCATTGTTAATCTTCATGAATGAATTTTTTTTTAAAATTTACTCTAAAATATGATTAAATATCCTCTTTTTTTTATTTATTTATGATTTATATGATAAAAATTCCTTAAATTAAATTTATATTTTAAGGAATGTTTATTGACTTTAAAAAAAATAAATAAATAAAAATAATAATAATAATAGTGGTAAATGAATGATTCTTTGTAAGTTTTAACTCATTAAAAAGATTAATGTACAAAACAAGTATTAAAATTTGTTATTTGATTGTTGATAAAATATAATTCATGATAAATTGCATGCAAAATTAAAACTGAAATTACTTTCTTTGTAAACTGATATGGATCTTTTAAAATTTTTACATGCAGATTATATGTATATGTAGAAATTTGTCTGATTTTTTATTTATTTGCAAAATGCACAAGATAATAAACTGATAATTATTGGCTAAAAATAACAAATTCACACAATATACAATTGTATTTTAAGAAATGGGACAACCATAACAATTTATGTGTTATAATTCATTTCAATCTTTTGTTTAACATTTCAGCCATTGTACTTGGAGAAATTGTAGAGAGGAAATGTTACATTTATGTATTTAATGGTTATAATGTACTTAAAACAAAATGTCCAGCAATCATCAATTTTGAATATCAATTAAACTTTTTGAAACTTTAAATTATTTAATATAAATTNGATCAATCAAAAGATAAAACAAAAATTATAAATGAGTAATCTCTGATGATAAAATAAAAGTTCTTTATTTAGAATATAATCATATCACTTTTTGTAAATAAAATGATTACACATTATATATATATATATATGTAAAGCAAATGTATCAAATTTAATCAGTATTTCAAATGATAAAACTAATTTTAAAGTTTCATATTTTAGTGGTCAATCAAAAAAAAATTCACAATTTTTTTAAGCATATATATATATAGATATATACACACACAATTAACAGAATGATCCAGAATCTAATTTAAATACATTAGATAATGATGATAACACATATGAAATCTGAATATCATCCTGCATTCATTAAGCAAATAAGCTGCTGTTATATTTTTATTCATTCTTTTAAAAACTCATTCAGCAAGTTGGTAAATCTAATTCTGTGATGTAACGCAGATATTTTGCCTTACAGCAACAATTATCGAATAACAGTTTGTCTTACCTTTAAAACAGGAGTAAGAAACTCTGCCACTCCTAAAGCTGTACCCTTAACACTATTTATTACACTCTGCATATTTTCTTAAACTTCTCTTATTCCACGCCAGCTGTAAGTGAACTTTACAACGACCTCTTACGGGAAAATTTGTCAAAGTCATATGATTCTATATTTTTTATCTTTATTAAATTCGTAATTGACATCTTTCCAAATAATATATATATATATATATATTATCTGTGTTTTATATTTAGTAATTGATATTTAATAAATAAAAATATTAATTTAATTTAAAAAGTGACAAAAATGGGAGAGAAATATGAAATTTCTCAAATGTCAGTTCAGAATTTGTCAGTTTTGCTTCAGTAACAATTTTTAATCATTAATTTACATTGTTAAATATTTAATTTCACGTTGGATAATCATTTATCATTAATGTGTGATTGAACTATACGATGATGGTTTCTTTTATGACGGGCGAATGGCCGTGCGGTTTAGTGAATGAAAATACTAGTAAATTGAATAAAATTATTTTTAATACTGTATATGTTTTATATTATACTCTTTATATAGAAAAATCAAAAATTATTTTGTTTTTAAACTCTCTTCTTCTTGTGGGCACTAAGAGGGCCTTTTTTTAGCAAGCCCATTATGAGTTCGGCCAGGCTCTGAATGGGATCGACCGGGTTTTTTTTTGTTATTCTCTTTTTGCTTTTTCCGCACTGTGGGCACTAAGAGGGTCTCTTATAGCAAGTCCATTATGGGTTCGGCCAGATCCATATAGGGCAGCCGGGTGTGAGGATGGGGACCGACATATCCGGACGAATCACTTCTCGAAAAGTCATATAGTTTTTCGACACGGGTCTCCCAGAGCGATAAGATACCACTCTAATAATCATAGCATATGAGGCGCGTCATTCCAAAGTGCGTTTTATCCACTTTCGCTTAATTTTCAGTATTCGATAAAATATTTTATAACCTAGGAATTTGACGTAGTTTATATTGATTTACTTGCATAAACCAGCATGTAGAATTAATAAAATGTGATATAATTAGCCGAAGGAATTTTATAAAAGTGGACAAGACGCAGTTTGGAATGACGTGCCTTAGATTAACTACCGGTATGTTATATGTAATTAAATGAAAAAATTGCTGAAAAAATGTATAAAATTAAAAAGTTTAAATTCAAGAAAAAATGAAATGCAGAAAAAAAAAGTTTTAAAAATAATACAGCAAAATTTTCTACTCTTAAACAGCAGAAAATATTGCTGTATTATTTTTTAAACTTAGATTAACTACCGGTATGTTATATGTAATTAAATGAAAAAATTGCTGAAAAAATGTATAAAATTAAAGTATGTATTGCCAAGAAAAAATGAAATGCAGACAACTTTAATCTTATTAGAACAATTTTTAAGAGAACGAAAGGTTTTAATAATAATTATCTAACTTAGCAATCCAAACTTACATCTGTATATAACAATAAATGAAGTTTCAACATCTGGTTTATGTTTCATAAAATTTTATAGTATTTCATAATTGTAAGACATTAAGTATGAATACGATATCTTTTATTTTGCTTCGATGCCAAAAGTTCAAACGCTGTCGAAAGTTTACTTATTTTAGTATATAAATAGGGGTTATTGTCTAGATATATCAAGCCATACGCCAATGCGTAATCTTTGCTGAACTATGACAAACTTTAGACATTTACGTGTCTCCTGTTTCTTGCGAATCCACACCATAACCAAGCTAATTTGATTTTTAATCCTGTGAGAGTAATGCCACAATCATTAACTAAAGTATTATCTTATTCTTTCATGTCTTTATGGCTGTAATTAATAGATTATCAGATCAACATCCAAAATAAATTAAAACTTTACAATTAACTACTTGAAAAGTAAACTTTTCCCCCCTGAAATTACACTATTTAATTTATTTTTAAACATTATTTTTCTAGGAAAGTCATTTCCTAAGGCCATAAAAATACAATAATCTTGTAAAACAAACAAAAATTTAACAATAGTTTAATAAATTGAGGTAAAAATTGGCAATGTATTTACTGTTATTCACAGAAGTTTTGTAATGAATGAATAACGGATAAATGCTGATTTGAACTGCCAAACCCAGGAAATATACAACACATAGGTATATTTTTTCTTTCTAAATTAGTCAGAAAAATTCTTTTGTGAGCAAGTAACTGTTACATATGTAATAGGCCGTCCATTGAATGGAGAAAGTTGAAGTAATTTTACTGATACTGCTATTGTGAGGTAGTTGAACATCAAGGTCACACGTTAGCTTCTCACTTCAAGGAGCTTCAGGTCAGGTAGAGAAAAATCAAGGACACTGTTCTTTCAGACGTGTGGAACCAGAATTTCTTCCATCTGTTGAATACTACGTCCTTGTTAAAAAAAGAGTAATTAATGTACGTAGAATACATTTTATAAATTACGGGCACGTCCGATCAAAGTAAATGAATAAAATTAAAAGAAAGAAAGACATAAAATTTTCATTTTGTCAATTGTATGTTCTTCGGTTCAATTTTCTAGTTTGACTGGCTAACGATGATACGTTGCACAAGTGATTACAATAAGATATTGCAGTAGATGATAAGCAATTTTTTCATAAACATCAATAACAAGTGTTAATAACTGTATATGTATTTTCAAATTCTATGTTGTTAAGCAGGCATAAAAAATATTATCTTCTAAATTACAAGAATTAAGAAATTATATTTTAATAATAATGATATAAATATATATGTAAAAAGAATAAAATCTTACATGTATAGGTGCAAAAGAGTCATTTAAAATTTAATAAGAAGAAAGAAAAAGAAAAGAAATTAAAGAAAGCCAGCAGATTTAAATTTTTAAACATGAATGATTGCTGGAAGACTTAAAAACTGCACAATTTTGATTATATTTTTAAAATAAAATAGGAGACAATCTATTTTAGTATTACAATAAGTCACAGTCGTGTCTTTTTTTCTTTCTACCTCATTAGTATGAACTAGGAAACTGTTAAGTTCCACTCATACATGCTACTAAACATAATGTATGTATACTACTATTAAGGTCACAAGTCGTAACTGCCGGGAGTAAATCGACAGCGCGTCCAACATTCCTTTTTTGAATCCACGGCACGGAAACCGTTAAACCCTTTTCGAATCTGCAGACTCACGGACCGTTAGAATAACATTATTTTTTTCTCAGCGACTATTTTTAGAGGGGGGTAAAAACTACCCAACCCTCAGGCAATTAGTAACCAAGATAGTGAGTTAAGCGGGTCAACTACCGAAAAAACAAAATTAGATTTAACTTGATTACTTTTCAAAATTTTAAAATACGTCATTATCAAATTTGCATTTCACAAATTACGGACAGAAACCGAGTGCAACGGAGCAGGTGCTGCAGCGTATCGAGCTCAGGTAGAGCGGAATGGGACTCACACCTTTATTTTTTTAATACAGTTTTTTTATGTTTATATATATATATATATAATATGTGTATGTGTTTTGCCTGTGTCGATTGAAAGGGGTTAAAAGTTAAACTAGTGATAAATCCCAGCTATCAGTGTTCTGTACACATATACACACACACAAGCATATTTAGACTTCCTGAACAAGTAAATAAATCAAAATAAACACAAAAGATAAGCAGACTCACCCATTAAGGTACTTTTCTATGAAGGATTTGGGCGGTGGAACGGGTGCAGATATGCACTGTGCCTTCCCATCGCACTTGGTTTCGTTCCCAGTCGATAACTGTCTCAGTAAACCGACGACTTTTTCCTTCAGAGTCGGCATCACTCTGTTGTTCGACCGTCCAACTTTCTTGTCATGGCTTCCCAGCTGGCACTGTTTCCTAGCAACGGCGACGTTCGGCCCTCTAACGGCTGTTTCGCGCCACTGGGGGATTTTCCCCTCCATCCGTCCTTGGAAATATCCTGCACCACGGCGCAACCTACCCTATTAAAATAAATTAAAATAACAAGAAAAAATGACGGAGAGAAACTCCTCTGTTACAATAACAATGTAGAGAGAAAAAAAACACGTGCTCCACCTCTTGTCTATATCGAACAATAGAAAAGTCGAAATTGATTGGTTTCTTTCTTACTAACGACGAAAACGACGAATTGTCGTAAGGAAATGCTCGAAAATTCCAAATTATAACTCAAAAATAGACCCTAACGTATAATCTCTCTATACTTAGAAACACCAGAAAGAAAAAATCCCCAGCGAGTCTCACTCCAATGCTTTTTCTATGGGGGTGATGCACGGATACGTCATTGTTTAAACATTAGTCACGGTTACAGATTTTACTAACGGATTTTTACGATATTTAAAAATTTTTAAAAGGGGGGTACCTGTTGGACTCTGTATTCTCCTCAAAAACCGCCGGACAAAAGCGCGTGTATCTGGTGTCATTTCCCGTGTCACGTGACCAACCGGGGTGCTTCGTTCTCTGGGTCAACACACTGGAGTACACTAGAAGAACAAAGTTCAAAAACGTTCGGAGACCGGGTCTAGTTCAATTGTGCTTTAACCCCTTAGGGCTAGAGTTTATAATAATGGTATATTAACGTCCACTTTATATTCAATTATTATTATACGGTGTAAGTGCAAATTATTTTTCGGTGTTTCGTTCCTTTTTTTCCGAATTTAATTGGACGAGGAGGTAAAAAAATAAAAAAATAAATAAATAAAAGCATTCGTCGTTAATTAAAGGAAAGTATTTCTAGTTAATTTTAATGAGTGCTTTAAAATATTAGGAAAGTATATAAATTAGTAATTACTATAGCATTTCCTGATATTTAATTAGAGCATTACTTAATTTCGCGTCGAAAGGTGTTTGACATCTTTTATTTGGCGAAGAAAGAAGAGGTTTTAAAGAAACATTACAAAGGGAAAATATGTGAATGCATCCTGTTTAATAGGACAATACGCGAAGATGCCAACACATCTGGTGAATGTTTATAATAATGCAATTTTCTACGTGTTCTTTCCATTTTCTATACGTTTATATGTTAGGGTCTCGATGGAGGTGGGACGGGGCAAGAGCCATTCAAGGCTTTGTGGAAGTGGGATGGAAAGAGCCATTCGAGGCTTGGTAGAGGTGGGATGGAAAGAGCCATTCACAAATTTAGCTCCCCATCTAGTGGTCTAGCCAAGAATTAAGGGCCCAACAAATAAATTACATTAACCATATACATTTTATTAACAAACATTAAAACAAAGATAAAAAATTGATGAATAAAAATCAACAAAACAAGCAAAAGCACTCCTTTTTTACATTAAAAAAAAAGTTAAATTTTGGAGTCTCCGTGTTCGAGCTCCAAATAAAATGATCCTGCAAGTACCCCTCTCTATGGGGTATGTATATGTACACACATTTTTCAATATATATATATTTTTTTAAAGGGAGGGTTAATTGAGGATTAGTAGAGCAAATAACGTTTACTGAATGAATCGCATTATGCGAGAATAACGCAAGAAATCGTGCAAGTAAAAACGATATCGAGATAAAGTAAAATACTGTATTTTTTTCTCCTTTTCCTTTATTCTCTTTATGCTGACTCATTGAAACGACTGTACGTGGTCCAGATTTTAAGAAAGAATATTTAAAATAAAATAAAAAGAGTCAGAATTAATTCACTTATGAAAGCTTTTACTTTGCAAAGAAAGAAAAAAAAAAAAAAAAGGAGATTTTTGTATCAGTAGACAGAATAATTTATAAATATTTATACACTGTTTGTTTAAACATTTCATTTATTTTCTTTATTTTTTACTTTTAACTGACATAAACAGAAAGATAACTTTTGTCTCAAGTTTATTTAACCTTGTTTACCTTATTTAGCATTTAAAATCAGGCAGATTAATTTAATTGAGTTATTATACATTTTACTTGATAAAAATTGGGAAAATTATCCTTAATGCTGTAAAATCTTTCTTAGAATTTACCTTTAATAATAATAATAATAAATAAATAATAATGTTTAATATTTATACAATTTTTTAACATAAAAAATTGTTATTTATTATTTAACTTAGAGCAGAATTTTAAAAGTTAATTTGGATTAAACTAAATTTTCATAGAAGTTAAGAGCCTAAAATGATGAATGTGTAATAATTTATAAATTAATAATCACCATTAAAATATATAAAAGTAATTTAATAATCATTTCTGTAAGCAAAAAAGTGTTATTAACTAAAAGAAGATTAAAAATAAGCCTAAAGAGGTGATGTGAGTTCCTGACCAGTAATAAACGTGGTCCCACCACCCGGAAAGCCATAAAACTATAATAAAATCAATAAAATAAACAAACTTCTTTTTATTACTTATCAAAAGAAAGTAACTTATATCATTCTTATCTTTTTTTTTTTGTTTTCACATAAAAAATTAAATTTTGGGGGTCTTATGTGTATGTATAGAGGAAGTTTAGGGGACTGTAGAGAAGGAAAGTTTCCCTGTACATGGCTCTAGTTTAAAATATAATAGTAAAGAAAAGTATTTTGACTTTGATCTTAAGACAGTAACTAAAAACCAGAGTGATGTATATACTTCCATAAGAACAATCTCATACCGATATATTGTTTTTTTTTGTATAGAAATATGTACTAAAACAATATAAAAACAATTTGTAAAACGTTAAAAAAAACAAACATTTTTACCTTCAAACGTCGATGTACGTGTACAAAACGGCTACAGTTCTGTCTTTCTTCGTAAAAGTAAACGTTTTTAGAACGGTTAATGGAAGTTTACTTTATCAATTAAGTCAGGCTACCTTAAACTTTCAAAGTTTATAGAGTAAATAAACAAAAAAATTAGCATCTAAAGTTACTTCTACTGCAGTGTTTATAACAGTAACTTTATCTGTTAATTTTTTGTTTGTTTTTACAGAACGTTTTTTTATAGAAGTAATTTAGTTCGTTTGCAAGAAAACAACGCTGCAAAACTTTTTTTAAATATAAAAATACTGTGTAAAGCAGTATTCTCACTAAAATCTGCACAGATATTTTATAAAATAGACTTAAAACCCTTCAACGATTCTAAAATTAAGCAGAAAAGTGACTCACAAACTTAATAATTCCGACTTCTGATAATGAAACTCGGGACTAAGTTTCATTTCTAACACGGATTTATAAAAGAACAGAGTAAGGTTGGATTTATTTTTAAGAAAAACACATATAATCATTGATGTTTCATCACTTATCACAAATCTATGAGGGGTTATAAAATAAGGATTAACACGAAAAGCTACTCACTGTCGAAAGTTAATAAATGTTGATTATATCGAGTATAAAAGTAAATGTTACTTTCTTGTAGTAAGAATTGTGAGCCTCTTACTCAGCACTTTGTTTTGTTAAGAAGAAAAATGGAATGTCTGGACTTTCTGTTGTGTGATTTATTACTATCGACCCTAACAGTTACAAATACTGACTTTAAACTAATCCACACGCTCGATTTGTCATCGTAAGCAACACTTAACTTATTAATGATTGTGTCTAGCCCAATTGAAAATACCTGACTGACGTGTCCGCGTTGGAAGGAACACGTAAATGTGGACGCAGGGTATTGAAAGGAAGCAATATACACAGTATTTTTCAATAACAAACTAAATTTAATTTGTAGAGAAGCGGGAGGAAAGAAAAAACTCTCCAAAATTTCCAATACCACATTAAAAAATTAATTTATCAGCCGTTCAATTTTTATATAAAATCAATAATTCTGAGTCAAGTCGAACGTTATGGAAAGCCTTTTGTTATGTTAAAAGTACAGCCTACCCTGTTAACTTCCTATGACTCAGAGCAAACTTGTCAAGGATATATTAGAGGACGAAGCACTCTTTTAATATTAAATTTAAAAAAATAAAAAATAATAAAATAAAGGACTTGTGGTTGTGGGAATTTTTATTGTGGCTTTTATTTGTCTATATTTAAGTTCATTAAGAAGGGCATTAGTTGACCTGAAGATATTTTTAACGTCTTTGTATCCGAACAATGGCTCTCGTTGCTCTTAATAATGAATTACTGATGGAATCTATGAGATGGGCCCCTTAAGATTTCCGTTCGATCGTTCATTAAGTGTACAATAATAACATAATCCAGTCGCTAATATATTTATAAAAGTTTAAAAATAACGAAAAATCTGTTTGTCTACCCGAAATTAGACTAGAAATCCTTGACCTCGATAACCTTGGTGCCAAATTTTCTCGAAACTACTTTGACAGACAGAAAGATTAGAAGTTTTACGTTAAACTTGATTCGATATTCGTTAAGGTCCTTGACCCCTTAGCATCTAACAAAACACCATCATCATCCTTTTAAGCATAGTAAATTCTCCTTCTGAGTAACCGTGACGGGCTTAGTTTATTTTTAAATGTCATTTATACCTTAATTAGAAGGCATAATCCGTGTAAAAAAAGAAAAGAAAAAGCTGTACAAAAGTATATTAATAATCTATTTTAATTGTCGTTCCAAAGGAGGTTAAAGCGTTATTCGTGTTCCGTTTTCTTGCTTAATCTTCCCAACAATGGGCAATTGTAGTTGCAAATAAGAGAATTATTTCTTTTTAGAAAAAACTTTTAATAACCAACACTCTTACTACTCGAAAAAAATTGAGGTTAGATGGTACCTCCCTTTCTCTTTCACTCTACTAGACCAAAAAGAAGAAGAAAAAAAAACTAACTTCATTATTGTATCTAATTACAAAACGAAAACTGTTAGTCACTGACTTACACCATTCGTGTGCCTTACACTTCCCAATTTAACACCTGCAATCCGTTAACTTCTATTAACAGGCCTATTTTTTTTTTTACAGAAAAAAAACCAAAAGTGAGTAGGTTTTTTCCACTGATTTCTAAAGGTTAACGTGTCAAACCCCATAAGGACGGGTTCTCCTACGCATTTTGTGAAAGCTAAAGCACAAAATCTCGTTTACGTTAAGTAATATTAATGTATAACCGCCGTTGATAAAGTAACTTAACGTATGACAAAAACTTCAAATTACGAATACATCAATTTAAAAGGGAATAATTCTATTAGTTAGTGGCGGTTAGATACTAATTGCATAATTGGATAATTGCCTTATATCGGATGATACGCTTATATTGGGTCGTACGAAGTATCAAGTAGAGTTAAAGTAGACGAGGGCGAAAGATGAAAACATAAAGTTCGTTGTTCTATAATTCTAAAAAGGATTAACGTCGCCTTTTTTCCGCCGTAACATCCTAACCTGCTTATCATAACCCGATGAGAAAATAAAGCATAACGTATCGAGTAATTAGAACTTAATAATATGCTACATTCGCCTTCAGTCATAAGTTTTATATTGACCTCAATATATACCCTATAATAAACAAATAAATAGTAGATCTGTGTATTACTTTATTACATTTTTATTCAATTACACGTGAGAAGATTACTGATAGAAGAAAAAAAAAAAACATATATATACGTCCTTTTTTTTTTCTTTTGTTTCGTTAACCACTTAAGAGATTTGACTGATCTGTTTCTCCTCTAAGCCATATTACTATGGGAGATGACAGGAAAGCAAAGATTGTGACAGATGCCCGAGGGGTGTGTAGTGCTAGACACGGGCGTCCTAGTTCTAGAAGCCAATATGAAGCTTGTTTATTAAAATATGAAGTCTCTAGAAGGAAGGAAACGTTTAAAACCATAAAGGAAACGTAATGTTTACAAACAGTTAAAAATATCCAAGAAAATTACAATAAATCTCCAAAATTAAGCAAACTTTCAACCTGCTTATTTTTTAAAAATGCCGGTTATATTTTAAAATTTCGATTATTTAATACGGTCCAATTCGGAATTTCGTGTTATGTCGCTTATTCTAAATGGTGCAATAAGCTATAACGGGAAATCGTATCTATAGTTCGCAATAGAGGGTAACTTCCTCGAATGTACAGTACTTCCGCATCCTGCGTTATATTCAGTTAAAAAAAACTATATATATATATATAATAACTATACAATAAAACTGGTGGGAGATGATACAAAAACATTAAAATTTATCGCCCAATATGCTGTCTTACTGTTTGCATGAGGCTTTCCTAGAGGGGGGAAAGAACCGAAAAAACTTTCCAGTTAAAGAAAAAAATTTAACGTCTTCAATAAAGTTACAAGAAAAGAAAAAAAAACTTCACCCAAATTTATTTCAGGAAGTGATTTTCAAAAATCCGCTGCATCATGAGAAAAACTAACTTTGATTGAACTTCCCGTCTGCTCTAAGTGGTTTCAGCCAAAAGCATCGTTTCTACTTATTTTTTACAGTAGAAGCGTATAAAAATCCCTACAGGAACCTCATGTTTTTAAATTAATAATCATATAATTTTAATTTATAATTTAATAAGTTTAATATCAAACGTTCAATCGTAGTAAAGCATCCATTCTTTGACCTAACTTCTTTAGATTTATGGCAACAATAATAATAAACTGTGGTCTTTAAGAATCTTGCACAACTCATTTTAAAGCATTCATAAACCTGACAATTCATTAATAACTAATAAAATGATAATTTTAAATTACATAATAAATGTTTTTTTCTTCCATTTTAACGTTTAAAATTATTTTACGGGAGGAAGTAGTGTATTAATTTATGCAATTCCGAGCTCATTATAAAAAGATCATATTCATTAAAACCTGGAATAATTATTCCAAACTGGAGGACATTTTCATATTTTCCCATAAAAATACTTTATTAAAACTGGAAGCCAGCCAGTAACAGGGAAGGGGGATAAAAAACTGATGAAGCAATAGTAATGATGATGGTGATGATGAGATGAGGGATTTTATTAAATTAATTATATTTAGAATTTTTTGTAAACAAGATAATTGCCAATTTAAGCTACGTTTCACAATCTTACAAACTGTTATGTAATGGTTTACACTGTTTAATTCAGCATTTTCTTATCAATAGATGATTTATTGATAATCTTACAACAGCCTCACCCTTTAAAACTCGCAGGAGCCGTGTTCCAGTTTTACGAATTGAATTAACTCAAAAAATAATGTAGATTAAACACACAAGGATAGTTAATTATGATAAGAAACATGCTATTTTTATACAAACATTATCAATTTTTTTTCTTAATTGAAGCTAACAATAGAATCGAAGTATCAATTTATAGCCTAGCTTGTATCTCTTTATGTATCTGATATATTTCAAGCAAATTATTCTGATAGGAACTAGAAAGGTTAGTGTTTGATAATGAATACAGAATGATTCACATCCTCATTTTGAAATTTTGTGTGTACGTGAAGCTGTTATTGTGTACTGTACATGTAAATATTCGTGTACGTAATTAGTAACTCGTTTATTGGTTTGGAACCAGTGTTAAAACTGAAAATATAAGAAATATTTACCTTTATTAACTTGAAAAAAAATCGTTCTATATTTTCTTACTAGATGTCACCACAGATATGATCAGATTCTTATCATTGAAAACGTTTCATTGACCCATATAAAGTGCATCCTGGAAGAGAGATTTTTCAATTTAAAACATCTGGACAATATTGAAAAGTTTTATTATTTGCTGTACAAAATATTTATTTATTACCAAACATAAAACTGAGTTTATTGTACTTCGTACGCATTTAAAAATTAATACACTAAAATATCTATTGTACAAAAAGCATTAATTTAACTAATTCCTATTGATTATTAACAAGCGAGGACATTTTTATTCTTAATCAAGACAATTTCCATCGAGTTTCTTGGTACATTTTGCCTTATTTGCTCCATTTTTATGACAGAAAAGACTGAAAACAGAAAAAAATTAGATATTGTTGTGTTCCTTCATGTATAAATTATTCATCTGTCATATACATTTTTACTTCCCCCTTCTAAATTATTGATTGAGGAATGTAACAGATGCATTCTTTCTTTATGTAGTATTGATTGACAAGGACACATGTGAAAAAGTCCTATAAAAACAATTCTCAATTATTAACCTTCGTCGTGTTTTTCTAACCTACAATTACATCTAAATATCTGAAGTTCGGTTAACTAAATAAATTTTAATGACGTGGAAATACGTCATTTTAAAACACACTAATTAATAGATTGTGTAGTAATGTGACGCATAGTTTGTCACACTCGTCGATATATATTTCTTATTGGCCAGTTTAAATTTTTGAATTTTGATAACGAGCGAACAGACTAATTTAGAAGAAAAAAAATAAGTAATTTAAAAATATTTCAATGTTTTTTCCGTAACATTTTCCGTTAATGAAATTTAAACTTTAATTACTTTAATCATAGCAAGGAAAAGGAAGATACTTAATGATGAGTATCTAAGACGGGAATTAATTAATTAAACATCAAAATAAATTTCTTAAAATTTTCGTTATTTTCGTAATTTAATCTATCGATCACTGTTAATTGACTATCGTAGGATCCGGGTTCGTGTTCGAATCGAAAACCTTGATTTAAAGCAGTGAATAATGAGATATAACAGCCTCGTTGACCCTAAAAAAAAGGTTTAAAATATTGTTGACAAGTGGCTAAACAAAGACTTGAGGTCATTCGTATCAAGATCCGCATCGTTTCACAGAAAAATTTTCACAAAATGCATTTAAAAATTCAAATATTTAAATTCGGCCAATTAGGTGAAACACGCGTGTGACGTATTTATTCCGTTACGTCGTGATGTAAAAAGCTAGCGGAGAGAAACAACGCTAATTAAATTTTAAGTATTATCGATCATTAATTACTTTTAAAGCATTTTTAAACACATAATAAAGTATTTAATTACGAAAAAAAAAACATTTGAAAACAATAAGAATAAGCACAAATGGGAAATACGAAAAAAAGAATATAACGACATCTGGTGGCGAAAGTACAAACAAGAAAATTTTTAAAAAATTATTATTTAATTAAAAGAATAAAACAAAATATATTTTAAAATATTTAAGTAGAAAACTTAACATTTTGCATTAATTTAAAATAATAATAATAATAATAAATATAATTTTCAACAGAAAACACTATTTATACTTGCAAGAGCAAGTTTAATAAAGATTAAAATTGAAATATTAAGCGATAAAAAACAAAGTATTTAAATTTTTGATTTAAAGCGAGTAATTTCATCTAAAATTTAATAAATTCGCTTCTTTACTATTGAATATAATTTTTAAAGAATATAATTTTAAAGATTTTAATATAATAATTTTTAGTAGTGATTATTATCATTTATTATGCGTACTTAATTTCGCCTTTTAAATTGGCATCACGTTTAAGTTTTATTTAATATATATATATATATTAAAATTTAAATGAGAAAACTGTAGATTATCATCCATTTTCAAAATTCTGTTAACGTTTGACGTCATAACGAAAAAAACGCGTCACATAAACTTTTGATCCGATTGGTAAAATTTAAATATTTAAAATTTTAAATATGTTTTATAGAATTTTTATTATGTAAAGCGAATATTAATATGAATGGCCCCCTAAAGAGAGAAAATAGCAGAAATATTCGCACAGTTTCCTAAATTTTGTAGTTAATAGAGAAAAAAAATTTTTTTCATTAATATTGTCCTCCTTTTTTTAAAATGATAATCTTCCTTTTAGTGTACTTAGAGATCTCAATGTTATCCGGAAATAAATTTTAAAATTAAGTTTCCTAAGTAATAGAGTATGATCTGTACGAGAGGTCTCGACATCTCTTACAGGGAAAACTGTAAAATATTCTTTATATTCTGCTTCTTCTCCCTTTATTCCCTCTGGGAACCCTCTCAACAGCTAATTGTGTTTACAATTCTTATATTGGAAAGAAAAATAAATTAAAAACTCAAATAAAATATGATTACAAAACTAGTTAAAAAAATAACTTAGGTATATACAGTACAATTTTTTTTTCTAATTTGAGAAACAGGATTATAAGGTTAAAAGCAAAATAATGTAAATTATAAACTAAAATTTTGTTTAGAAAATTACTTTTTTTTTCTTTCTTTTAAAACTAAAACAGATTTTCTATGAGATTTTCAGGAAAGTTTTACGCTTTCTAACTCTAAATTTTTATAGACAGCGGGATGGCCGAGTGATTAAGGTGGTGGCCCATTGATCTGAGGAATCCGGCATCAAGTCCGAACGAGTCGAAAAACTCCAAGAATTTCCCGAAAAGTGAGAGCCTCATTCCCTTTTCACCCCCCATTGAGGGCCTGTCCGAATCTATAATTCGCTTGCTAAAAAAAGGGCCCTGTTAATGCACACAGGGCGAGTGTTAAATAATAACTTTTTAATACATTTTTAAAAATTACAATAGTAAATAATTCAATTAAAACAAAATATATAATTTAACAAGTGTATTAAATTATTAAAAAGTAAAATTTAAAGAATACAACAAAACAATGGAAAAACCATAAAAATTTATATAAATGTCCACAATAAATAATAAACTGCCATATTGACGCTATTATGTTAAACTCTTCAACAGAATTTTAATTACAAAAAAGCGCATCAATTTTATTTTTAATTTTTACTTTATTTAGTCAAATCATCAGTTAAACAATGACATTTTTCAAATATTATCTCGACTACCGAAGATATAATAATAATAAAAATATATTATTTTTTCCAACACTTTACAAGAAATCTTAAGCGAGATTTTGCCAATTAATTATTCTGTTTATTATTTAAGCATTGAAAAGAAAGGATTTCAAAAACCTTTTGTTAAATTAACAAAAGAACTTCGTTAATTTATCTCCCAATCAGTCGAACAATTTTTTAAATAAATGATTTTATTTTTCGATTAACTCATCGACAGGAACATTAATTTTTTTTAGAAATATTTAAAAATGAAGCAAATTAAAATATTCATTTTTAGATTTTATCCTTTACAAAATTTATCAGAGAATAATTAGTTAAAATTATTGAATATACTAAAACCTGTGTAAACCAGAATCGCATCATACCGAATATTTTTCCGGTTAGGCAGTTTTTTTAACGTAGAAAATCGCTTTGTTCCGAAGACTTTTGTCGTTTAGGCAAGTTTCCATTTTATTCAGGTTCCGTTATAGACAGATCTTACTATTTTACAGCAGCTATTTTTTTTTGTAAACACAACTTATTTAATGTGATAAACTGCTTTTATGATGTTATCATATAACTTGTTTTTATATCTTTTATTAACTTGTTTGATTAAATATGGTAAAAAAATTTAATACATATTAATTAATTTTTTCAGACGTAATTAAACGTAAAGATGTTCTTATTTTAAATGTAAGCAACCTCAATTTATTCATTAAAAATAGAACAATAGGCTATCAAAATTTATTTAGTTATTAAAAACTGAAAAAAACTTTTTATAATACAAAAATTGGTAAAATGTAAATGTGATCCGCATTCCTCGTTCAACTTGTTTTAAATTTTTAAATTTTTGCATAAAAAAAATTAAGGAACTGCCAGTTTGTTGTGTATCGCGATAACTTGAACATAATTTCATTCCGGTACACTTATAATCAGGGATTAAGAAATGAGAAATGGGAATCGAGGCCAGTTACCAATCTCCTCTCTGAAATCTATTTTTAAAAAATGTATGAATAAAAACAACAATTAAAAAAAATTATTTTACTACGCTTTTCTTTGCACAAAAGACTAAATTTTGGGATTTCTCTATATCCTGGACACGGGCCAAATAACCTTGTTGACTTTCGACTGTATATCTTTTTTGGCACAAGGAGAGCCTTTAATCGTATGTATTATGGTTTCAGCCAGGTCCACAATGGAAGCTCAACATAATCTGGGTCAATCCAAGGAATTTTGCCTATCCGTGCAATACTTACTTGGCATCTCCAGCCCAACCTCAAATTAATGTTTGAAATTTTAAAAACCAGTATATTAAACAAGTTTTTTGCTACCCCGTGCAATGGACATAGTTCACCAGCATTTGAGCTGACCCTGGATCAATCCATCCATGAGATGGTTGAATTCTAATCATAGTCCCTAACAATAGCATCATTACACAGCTATCACAACTGTTGAAGGCCTCTCTCTAGTTAGAACCGTTTGTATCGAACAATTCCACAATATCTATGAATCTAGAGTGAAAACTGCAACCGATTTCTGGTAAAATTGCAAAATCTATTTTATTTGAACGTCAGTGTTTCTTCACGAATTCAATTCCTAGNTTAAAATTTATCGCCCAATATGCTCAGTCTTACTGTTTGCATGAGGCTTTCCTAGAGGGGGGGAAAGAACCGAAAAAACTTTCCAGTTAAAGAAAAAAATTTAACGTCTTCAATAAAGTTACAAGAAAAGAAAAAAAAACTTCACCCAAATTTATTTCAGGAAGTGATTTTCAAAAATCCGCTGCATCATGAGAAAAACTAACTTTGATTGAACTTCCCGTCTGCTCTAAGTGGTTTCAGCCAAAAGCATCGTTTCTACTTATTTTTTACAGTAGAAGCGTATAAAAATCCCTACAGGAACCTCATGTTTTTAAATTAATAATCATATAATTTTAATTTATAATTTAATAAGTTTAATATCAAACGTTCAATCGTAGTAAAGCATCCATTCTTTGACCTAACTTCTTTAGATTTATGGCAACAATAATAATAAACTGTGGTCTTTAAGAATCTTGCACAACTCATTTTAAAGCATTCATAAACCTGACAATTCATTAATAACTAATAAAATGATAATTTTAAATTACATAATAAATGTTTTTTTCTTCCATTTTAACGTTTAAAATTATTTTACGGGAGGAAGTAGTGTATTAATTTATGCAATTCCGAGCTCATTATAAAAAGATCATATTCATTAAAACCTGGAATAATTATTCCAAACTGGAGGACATTTTCATATTTTCCCATAAAAATACTTTATTAAAACTGGAAGCCAGCCAGTAACAGGGAAGGGGGATAAAAAACTGATGAAGCAATAGTAATGATGATGGTGATGATGAGATGAGGGATTTTATTAAATTAATTATATTTAGAATTTTTTGTAAACAAGATAATTGCCAATTTAAGCTACGTTTCACAATCTTACAAACTGTTATGTAATGGTTTACACTGTTTAATTCAGCATTTTCTTATCAATAGATGATTTATTGATAATCTTACAACAGCCTCACCCTTTAAAACTCGCAGGAGCCGTGTTCCAGTTTTACGAATTGAATTAACTCAAAAAATAATGTAGATTAAACACACAAGGATAGTTAATTATGATAAGAAACATGCTATTTTTATACAAACATTATCAATTTTTTTTCTTAATTGAAGCTAACAATAGAATCGAAGTATCAATTTATAGCCTAGCTTGTATCTCTTTATGTATCTGATATATTTCAAGCAAATTATTCTGATAGGAACTAGAAAGGTTAGTGTTTGATAATGAATACAGAATGATTCACATCCTCATTTTGAAATTTTGTGTGTACGTGAAGCTGTTATTGTGTACTGTACATGTAAATATTCGTGTACGTAATTAGTAACTCGTTTATTGGTTTGGAACCAGTGTTAAAACTGAAAATATAAGAAATATTTACCTTTATTAACTTGAAAAAAAATCGTTCTATATTTTCTTACTAGATGTCACCACAGATATGATCAGATTCTTATCATTGAAAACGTTTCATTGACCCATATAAAGTGCATCCTGGAAGAGAGATTTTTCAATTTAAAACATCTGGACAATATTGAAAAGTTTTATTATTTGCTATACAAAATATTTATTTATTACCAAACATAAAACTGAGTTTATTGTACTTCGTACGCATTTAAAAATTAATACACTAAAATATCTATTGTACAAAAAGCATTAATTTAACTAATTCCTATTGATTATTAACAAGCAAGGACATTTTTATTCTTAATCAAGACAATTTCCATCGAGTTTCTTGGTACATTTTGCCTTATTTGCTCCATTTTTATGACAGAAAAGACTGAAAACAGAAAAAAATTAGATATTGTTGTGTTCCTTCATGTATAAATTATTCATCTGTCATATACATTTTTACTTCCCCCTTCTAAATTATTGATTGAGGAATGTAACAGATGCATTCTTTCTTTATGTAGTATTGATTGACAAGGACACATGTGAAAAAGTCCTATAAAAACAATTCTCAATTATTAACCTTCGTCGTGTTTTTCTAACCTACAATTACATCTAAATATCTGAAGTTCGGTTAACTAAATAAATTTTAATGACGTGGAAATACGTCATTTTAAAACACACTAATTAATAGATTGTGTAGTAATGTGACGCATAGTTTGTCACACTCGTCGATATATATTTCTTATTGGCCAGTTTAAATTTTTGAATTTTGATAACGAGCGAACAGACTAATTTAGAAGAAAAAAAATAAGTAATTTAAAAATATTTCAATGTTTTTTCCGTAACATTTTCCGTTAATGAAATTTAAACTTTAATTACTTTAATCATAGCAAGGAAAAGGAAGATACTTAATGATGAGTATCTAAGACGGGAATTAATTAATTAAACATCAAAATAAATTTCTTAAAATTTTCGTTATTTTCGTAATTTAATCTATCGATCACTGTTAATTGACTATCGTAGGATCCGGGTTCGTGTTCGAATCGAAAACCTTGATTTAAAGCAGTGAATAATGAGATATAACAGCCTCGTTGACCCTAAAAAAAAGGTTTAAAATATTGTTGACAAGTGGCTAAACAAAGACTTGAGGTCATTCGTATCAAGATCCGCATCGTTTCACAGAAAAATTTTCACAAAATGCATTTAAAAATTCAAATATTTAAATTCGGCCAATTAGGTGAAACACGCGTGTGACGTATTTATTCCGTTACGTCGTGATGTAAAAAGCTAGCGGAGAGAAACAACGCTAATTAAATTTTAAGTATTATCGATCATTAATTACTTTTAAAGCATTTTTAAACACATAATAAAGTATTTAATTACGAAAAAAAAAACATTTGAAAACAATAAGAATAAGCACAAATGGGAAATACGAAAAAAAGAATATAACGACATCTGGTGGCGAAAGTACAAACAAGAAAATTTTTAAAAAATTATTATTTAATTAAAAGAATAAAACAAAATATATTTTAAAATATTTAAGTAGAAAACTTAACATTTTGCATTAATTTAAAATAATAATAATAATAATAAATATAATTTTCAACAGAAAACACTATTTATACTTGCAAGAGCAAGTTTAATAAAGATTAAAATTGAAATATTAAGCGATAAAAAACAAAGTATTTAAATTTTTGATTTAAAGCGAGTAATTTCATCTAAAATTTAATAAATTCGCTTCTTTACTATTGAATATAATTTTTAAAGAATATAATTTTAAAGATTTTAATATAATAATTTTTAGTAGTGATTATTATCATTTATTATGCGTACTTAATTTCGCCTTTTAAATTGGCATCACGTTTAAGTTTTATTTAATATATATATATATATTAAAATTTAAATGAGAAAACTGTAGATTATCATCCATTTTCAAAATTCTGTTAACGTTTGACGTCATAACGAAAAAAACGCGTCACATAAACTTTTGATCCGATTGGTAAAATTTAAATATTTAAAATTTTAAATATGTTTTATAGAATTTTTATTATGTAAAGCGAATATTAATATGAATGGCCCCCTAAAGAGAGAAAATAGCAGAAATATTCGCACAGTTTCCTAAATTTTGTAGTTAATAGAGAAAAAAAATTTTTTTCATTAATATTGTCCTCCTTTTTTTAAAATGATAATCTTCCTTTTAGTGTACTTAGAGATCTCAATGTTATCCGGAAATAAATTTTAAAATTAAGTTTCCTAAGTAATAGAGTATGATCTGTACGAGAGGTCTCGACATCTCTTACAGGGAAAACTGTAAAATATTCTTTATATTCTGCTTCTTCTCCCTTTATTCCCTCTGGGAACCCTCTCAACAGCTAATTGTGTTTACAATTCTTATATTGGAAAGAAAAATAAATTAAAAACTCAAATAAAATATGATTACAAAACTAGTTAAAAAAAATAACTTAGGTATATACAGTACTACAGTACAATTTTTTTTTCTAATTTGAGAAACAGGATTATAAGGTTAAAAGCAAAATAATGTAAATTATAAACTAAAATTTTGTTTAGAAAATTACTTTTTTTTTCTTTCTTTTAAAACTAAAACAGATTTTCTATGAGATTTTCAGGAAAGTTTTACGCTTTCTAACTCTAAATTTTTATAGACAGCGGGATGGCCGAGTGATTAAGGTGGTGGCCCATTGATCTGAGGAATCCGGCATCAAGTCCGAACGAGTCGAAAAACTCCAAGAATTTCCCGAAAAGTGAGAGCCTCATTCCCTTTTCACCCCCCATTGAGGGCCTGTCCGAATCTATAATTCGCTTGCTAAAAAAAGGGCCCTGTTAATGCACACAGGGCGAGTGTTAAATAATAACTTTTTAATACATTTTTAAAAATTACAATAGTAAATAATTCAATTAAAACAAAATATATAATTTAACAAGTGTATTAAATTATTAAAAAGTAAAATTTAAAGAATACAACAAAACAATGGAAAAACCATAAAAATTTATATAAATGTCCACAATAAATAATAAACTGCCATATTGACGCTATTATGTTAAACTCTTCAACAGAATTTTAATTACAAAAAAGCGCATCAATTTTATTTTTAATTTTTACTTTATTTAGTCAAATCATCAGTTAAACAATGACATTTTTCAAATATTTGTTAATCAAATCAA